TGATTTACTTGGATCCCCAGCGATAAGGCATGAGGACATGATGCCAATGTGTAGAAGGTGTTTTTGCCACTTATTTGCCCCTGAAGTTCTATTGCATTTGATGCTTTACGTTCCCCACCCCCGGTCTTAAAGATCAAGTTTTCTGGTGGGTCTCCGATGCATGGCAACCATTCTTCAGGCATGGACTCCTTTGACAGCAAATTTCTACCGGCACCTGAATCCAGTAAGAACTCCATTTCAACGGGGTTCGCAACCATTGCAGGGGTGCTAGAATTATCCAGTTGACACATCCGATTACAGCATGTTATGGCCGTCATGATGGTCGTTACAGCTTTGGCCAGCAGATTCATGCATGGGAGCTTAACTGAACTTCTAGACACCTTTCTACAAACTTTCTTGGCTTGGCTCAGGGCGGCGTTTGCCGTGGTAATCGCTGAGAAGGCTGTGGCTGTCGCTGCGGCAACTGATGCAACTCCGGCATTCTGGCTTGAGGTGGGGGTGCTGGACTTTACTCGAGGTTTGTTCCCCTTATACAGGTTGGACTTGTCATGCAAGTACTCGCAATTTGCGCCTTTCGAGCAACTGTCAAACGCGAAATACCTACATGGCATTTTGGCTTTCTGCTCTTTGGTGAGTTCTGGCCTGTCCCCTTTATCCTTTGCACCTTTGCCATCCTTTCCTTTGCCTTTGCCTTTTGTTGCAGCTGCGGCATCAACACTTGCTTCTTCCTTCTTTTTGTTTTGAGTTTTTGTTTTGCCATCAGATTTTGCTTCTGGCTTTTCTTTTGTTTCTTTCTTTGGCTTTGATGTTTTCTCGGGCTTTTCTTTTGTTTTGGTCTTGGGATCAGCTTGAGCACCTGAAATTTTGCTTTCCTGGCCTCCTACAGTCAAGGCTTTGTCGACTGAAGTTGTGTTGACATCCATTTGAGAGATCTCAATTGCTTCAATCATCTTGCCGTAGAGCCATGTGCTCGTACGTTTGCTGCTCCCTTGACGAGCTTCACGATACTTATCAATAGCCAAAGCCATTTTTGGATGATTTTTGAGGTTTTCAAATAGCAACGATTTCAAGGAGTTCTCTGGTGGCAATTCGGTGGCCTCCAAGGCTCCGTAACAGTAGTCGTAATGCTGTTTGAATTCTTCCAGTGCTTTGACATCATTGCCTCCCATTTTGAGAGACAAGAGGTGATGCTGTGACAGCGCAGTTCCTCTGTCACGATCAAGTCGAAATTTTTGGAAAACATGCCATAGCAACATTCGACCTTTTGGCTGCTTATTTACAGCTTGAAACCTCTCTTGAAAAGTCTGGAATTCCATAGCGAACTTTGTTGATTTTGCTAGTTCAAGCATTTTGGACCCCAGAATTCTATCCAAGATTGGGTAGTCACCAGATGAATTGAACTCATCCCCCTTTTCCGAGGTGTTGCATAGGCTAATCCATTTGAAAACTTGACTTTCATCATTCTTTGCATATTTACAAATGATGCTAAACACTGTGTTTCTAAAGCTCCTACACCTAGCAGCATCGGCCGGCAAGGGCGGTAGCTTCATTTGATCGTAGTATTTGACTCTCATGGTTTTCTTTTCGATTCTATATGGATCCCTTTCTCCGCTTGAACCAGTGCTGGAAACACCATCGCCTAAAGGGGATTCTGGACCTGACGGTGGCCCGCTCCCTCCAGGCTTGCCTCTTCCGCCCTTCTTGGAGCGTGAGCTGGACGAAGACGATGATGGCCCGCTTCCTGGTGGCGACTGAGGAACCCTTGGCCGCTGATCCGACTCATTTGAAGGCGGTCTGCGTCCATGTCGATTTGACCTTTGAGAGTTAATTTCATTTGCTATTGTCTGCACTTGATTTGCCAACTGTTGGACTTGGATGCTCAATGCCATGTTCTGATCACCTTGAATTTGATTCCCTACCTGCCAGTTCCTAAGAATTTCTGGAGGCAACATAGGAGGTGCCAAGTGCAACTCTCCTGAACACTGCCCTGGGGAAGGTGCCGGGCGCAACTCTTCACCAAAGAATCCTGAAGCGCGGGGCACAGCACATTGCGATTGACCGGTGGGACCAACTGGAAATTCCGTACCAGGATGGCTAGATCTCGGTGTGGCTATGCTCCTTACTATGGGACTCACGGCAAATGACTCAGGAATAGACGTACATGGCATAGGCTGAACTGAACTTTTAGGCACTGATGACGACGAACTTGATTCACCCAATTTTGGTGGGCATCTCAGATCCATGATTGGGTTCCTTTTGGCTTGGGCTTCAAATTGGAGGGCCTCATTTTTGGCATTAACTTCGAATTGAAGGGCCTCATTTTTGGCATTAGCTTCAACCTGAACGCCCGAATCATGTTATTTTGATCCTTTATTTGGTTCATCATAACATCCATTTGACTCTGCATCTCTACTATTTTATTTTGGGTAATTACCAGTGCTTCATGTTTTTCTTGAAGTGCACCGGCAACATGAACAATTTGTTGGGATCTTTCGGCTAGCAACTTCTTAAGGTGCTCAATCTGTCCCTGACTATTCACAACTTCCCGCTGGGCATTTTGGACCACCCTGGAGGATTCTTCCTGGGATTGGGTTACCCGCATGGTTGCTTCATCAAGGGACTGCCTAATCCTATCACTGGCTTCAGCTTCTATGGCTTGGACCTGAGACTGGAATTGATTTTCTATGGCATTTATTTGTGACTGAGCTTGGGCTTTTGCAACACAGGCATATTGCATAGCTTGGGAATTGGCATTAGCTTCAGCGGTCTTAGCAAATTGAAGGGCCTGACTCTTGGCTTTGGCTTCAAATTGAAGGGCCTCATTTCTGGCATTAGCTTCAAACTGAAGCGCCTGATTCATGGCGTTTACTTCAAATTGGGACACATACTGAAGGGCCTGATCCCTAGCATCAGCAACCATTTGGTGAGCCTGAGCTACAACCAATGGGCTAGCATCCAACAAATTGACTACCCTGGCATCTGTGAATTGCAAAGTCTGATTGTCTTGGACAGTGACATTACGTGCATCGATATTATGGACTGCTTGGTGATACTCGTAGCTGTGCATGACTGTTGGTTGTCCCTTAGGGATGGATAGACCCGATGACGATGTTTCTGTTGACATACTCGAGTCTTGGATTGGGGTAGAAACAGCTTGGGCCAATGGTACACGCCCTGGTGACCCTTCATCTGCCAAATGCTCCATTTTTCTGATGCCTGGGCAAATGATCGAGCTTCAATGCTTTGGCAATTGATCAGGGGCGTAAGAATCTTCCCAAACAAGCCTGAACAGAGTGATCAGCAAAAAATTTGGCCTGCAGGTACTCGTCGCAGCCCTCAGATTGCCTCTTCCTCTTCAACTTGATATGGACTCCCTTAACCTCTTCTGGATCAAATGTTTGCCGCAAATGCTCAATGATCTCTACCTTATCGTCCACAAGAACTGCTGTTTCGCGATCTCCTCGACGGTCTCCGAGCGAATCAAGAAACGTCTGGATCACTGCAACCTTGACAAGTGGCTCACGTGTAAAGATTATCCCTGAAATTAAATCCTGGGCTTCAGCACGGTTCCACTGTTGAACGACTGACTCCAATCTTTCGTCTGAATGTACGTAACTCAGAACAAAAATCCACCTCTGCTCGCCTGAATCCTCTTTCAAGTGACGAAGCACCTCAAGGTTCTGCGGAGGGATTCTTCCTGTAGTCAATGCACACTCTTCCCAATGTCTGTCTAGGACCTGATGATGATCCACAAACAAAAACTTGGCTTCGGATACCTGAACGTGAGATAGGGCAATTCGGCCTTGGGGCCTAGTAAGTAAAAAATCACCGCCGTCTGTTGAGATGTATGTACTGACGGATTCCGGTAACAATACCACTATGTCCTCTCCCCTCGCTGCTGTGGCTACCCGATCTGCTTCAGCCAATTGCGCCTGCACTTTTGTGTCGACTTGCACCCTCGATCGTGCCAAAAAGTTGAACGTTTCCAATGCTGAAAATGAACTAGTCGACAAGTGTGGATGGGTAGGAGACAGATATCCGAGTCGTACACCTTCTCGGATAAACGCAATCTTTTGCGCGTTGCCCCTTTTACCTCCCCTTGGAAACCACAGTAAAGAGTGCAATTCCTCGTACTCCGGGTGCTCGGGATCGGCAGGTTCAGATGTTGCTGCGTCCCGAGCACCCGAAGAAGAAGCAGATGCTATGGCTGCCGCGAAGAAAGCCTTACGGCTGATAACCAAGAGAAACGAGCTTCGGGCAGCAGTCCTGTTTCTTGAGCCAAAGCGACAAGTAAGACAACAAATTGAGTTGTCAAGTGACCTGCAAACTGGATTCCCGGCTTAAACCCTTTAGGTAAGCTCATGCATTTAGGAATTCCAGTCAAACTTCGGATGTTTGTGAAACCAACTACGGGACCCTTCCCTGGTGAGCCATGTGCTACAACCAGGTGCATAAGTGAAGTCATATTTGGGCATCCATTTTGGGACCGCTTCATCCGCATCCATTCTTCTGTAATCATATATATATGTATGTAATCATATATATATAATCATATATATATAATCATATAGATATAATCATATATATATAATCATGCATATATATATATATTATATCACCAACTTAATCTTATCAACTGGGATGCACATCCAAACTGGTGTACATTGAGATTATGATGAGGGATATATTGAGTAGTAGAATCCCATATAATGATCAATACAGTTTTTGTAACTGCTCAGTTGTTTCGGGGATGTCACTAGTTTGAACAAAAGAGAACAGACTCAAATATAGCAGTGGGGTGTGAGTTGTGGGAGGCTTGGGGATCTCACACAGTGTACTCGGCATGCCTAGGGAAGAGACATCATGACCTACAGTCGAGTGTCCTGCCACATGCTTTGACCTTGATGGCCTGGCAAAAATCATCAAAAATCTACAAAAATGTCTGGCTGTACCCGAAAAGTGACGCGTTCTAACACCACCCCTGGCCCTGGGTTGCCAGCTTTGGTGGATGTCTGATTTGGATTCCAACCAATTCGATCCTGCACGTGGCGTGGCAACCGTGGCGTTTTGTTCTACAGCAAATAATCTGCCATCATTTGCTGAATTCGATCCAGAATGGTCACCAGAAACAAGACCCGCTTTGAGGAGGCAGTTCCCACATGTTCCCACCCTAAGGTTCTTCAAATGATTGACACCGAAAGTCAAAGGCTTCCCGGATTCCCATTTCGTCGGCAGCCCTCGCGCTCTGCTCGGATTTTCCACGGAATTTTCCGCGTCTTTGGTCGAAATGAAGGTCCCTGCTGGTAACAACCAGGACTCTGCAGGCGTGTCATCGCCCCAAATGGAGGGAGCTTCGGTGCTTCTGCTCCTGGGGATCCCAGATGGGACGATGGGACGATTGGGACGATTGAAATCTGGAAACATCTGGAAGTCTTTCGGATTTGGATGATTTATGATGATTTATGATGATTTATGATGATTTATGATGATTTATGATGATTTATGATGATTTATGATGATTTATGATGATTTATGATGATTTATGATGATTTATGATGATTTATGATGATTTATGATGATTTGGTCTTCCATTTTGATCCAAAGTTTCATTGGAGCTTGATTTGAGATATTGGAGAATTTCACGGAGGCCTCAATTTAAAAGCGACACCTTAGATGCGCATGGCAAAGGCTGAGCCTGGTGTCGGGCCGCGCCACACTATCAGCAGCTGCCTGGCGTCAGCTGCATCAACAAACGTCATGTGGTACACCCAATGCCATAAACCTACCATTTTGGAGGGTTTTAAGTTTACACCATTTATGTCAATTGATTATAGCACCATATTTTTTGTGAGATTGGATGATATTGGGGATGAATGGCACTGCCCCGAGCCTCGAAGTTTCCAGCAGCCATACGACCTCCCTCCACCTGGCTCACGTCCACATGATCTTAGATTGGAAACCACATCTTCCATTGGAAAAGCACAGTCGGCACCTCATCCTCCTTCCACAGGTGCTTACAAGCAGTACAGCGGATGGTGATCACTGGCTCCTGCAGGTGGAGCAACAGATCCAGTATGAAACCAAATGCTTTCTGCATGCTGCACACTCAATTCTTGGCGAAGAAAAGATTGTCAGATGTTGAAACCAAAGCACAAACTGGGCGACAAATACGTCCCAAGAATGTGGCACCCGAATACCCCAGTGCTTTCCCATCTTTGTCGTAAATCCTTTGGCTCGAATCTCCTGGTTGTTGTCGTCGTGGCTGTGAAATCCTTTGAAGGACTGGATGTACACCTGGATGCTGCATCTGTTTGAAACGTTGGACCACATGTCACTACAGTCACTACAGTCACTACAGTCTGCCCATAATATAAAGAGCAGAAAATCAAGGCTTGAACCTGGGTCTCAAATCTTCAGTCCTTGAAAAATAGGGATCGTCCAGGTTAAAGTCCCCAGGAAACCACACCGAAAATCATTCATTTGACACTCAACTCAGGTGGCTGCAGTAGGTCAGGTTCCGCCATTTGAGGCAGCCACACATTTGTCACATTCGCATCGCGGGCAAGCAAAGTTATCCGAAGGCGTCCAATGGGCCTCGGGACATCCGTTGACGACCCACAAAAAAGTGACCCAACATATATTGACCAGTTTGATGGGTGTCAATATAAGTCAATATGAAAACCTGGTAGCACGATTCTTTCATCATTCCATCAATATCCCAATACAATGTATCCCAATTACATGGGACTCTATGTATCTATGAATGCATGTCTGTCTCATGTATCTATGGATGTATACATGCATCTGTATATCCCCTTTTCACCATCCGCTAACCGCCGGGTCCAAGGTGGGGAATCATTATACTATATGATATAATATTATATTATTATATATGTACTGTATATGTATATATATTATAAAGTGGGTGAATAAATCTCTGTTAATGAATTGATAACCACTCCCCAAGAATATGGGTATAGAATTCAACTCTTGAACATGGCACATGCAGCACATGCCGCATGCAACTGCAACTGAGCCACAAAATCCTCCGCGGTGATGCCAAGAGCTTCTTGGAGGTTTTCCTGCCATCAAGTTGCATCAAGTGCCCAGAAAGCCGCAAGAAATACACAGAATTACCATGAATTACTAACTGAATTACCAACAAAACCCCATACGTGTCTCAGCTTTCACCATCCCAAAATGGATGATTTAGCCGACCAAGATGTGGTGATTTATGTCCAGCGTTGAGTCCCCAGTTGTTGACGTTTTTTGGGTCCGTGAAATCCGCATGTTTTCCATGCTGAAATCCCCATCAGCGTCAAAAGGTCCTGTCGGAACTGCTGCAGCTCCTCTTTCTGCGACTCAGCCATCAGCGTCTGACACCAGGGGGTTTGGTTTAAGGGAGAAGCTGACGGGAATCCCAATTTGCTGTGCAGTTTACGTGTTAGTTAGTTTCTCTATCAAGAATTCGCAAGCATTTGTGGGATCTCAAACCGAAGTTTGGAACAAAGCGACCGGAAAAACAGGAAAGACTTGCACAGTCTTTAGGGGTCCAAATGGACAGAATCATATCAGAGGTTTGATGTGTCAGGGCCACTCTTGTGGTAGATAGTCTCATTAAACTCAATTAAAATACCATTACTCCAATGATTAAATGGGACTATCATCTATCATATATGGACTATCATCCACTATCATATGCCAAGATATGCCAAGTATATCTATATGTCATGGGATCCTAGACCTTTTTGTCGTGGGATCCGTCGTGGGACGTCGGTTGTATCAGATACGTATCCTATCTCCCGCCTCATCGGCCAGGGAAGCCAATTGCTCTGCCTGGGGATCCAGCGGGGAAGATTCTGGACTTTCAATGACTTTTTGAAATTGACATTGAAAGTATGGTGATTTAATGGGATTTAATGGGATTGAATGGGATTTAATGGTATTTACCATCTGGTTATGACTAACATAGCCATGGAAAGATCCACCATTTTTAATAGGCAAACCCCTCTATCAATGGGCCATTTTCTATGGCTATGTTAAATAACCAGAGGGTAGGTCCAAGTGAAAGCATCAATTGAGCACCAATTAAGATGAAACTTACATTCCAACGTTCAATGGACTTTCAATGATTTTTGCTAAGAGTTCTGATGTTTGTTTTTCTGAACATCGAAATAGAAAGGTCCATATATTTAGACTGGGGGGAAACATAGAAAGGTTCATATTTATAGGGAGGAAACGATCCGAGATAGGCATCTGGCTTTTGTCTGATAGGCTACGCCCCAAGGTCCAGTTGGTTTATCGGTTTATAAAATTACCATGCGACGGCTACCCGGTAAAATGATCTTTTTAGTTTAGAAACAAACACACACACATTTAATAAATTGGTATGGCACTGGAGCCCGTGATTTACATCATTCATTGATTGGTGAACCGGGAAATCTGCGGGAAACCATGGTTTTCCAATCAAAATAAGGGATGTTTGTCGTTTGTTGGTCAAATTCCTTTTTTTGTCTCTATTTTGTTGCCCTGTTTGCCTTGAACCATTTCTGGGAAGATATTATATCTTGGCTTGGCGGTCCCATCCCCCAGATATTTGATATGAAAATACTTGATCTAGAGAATGTTTTTTAGAAATAAACATAATGTTTCCCATCCATCGGGAATTTTGACAAAAAGACGGATAGGAAAATCACCTGTGTATTTTTCAGGTAAGATTTTATCATTGCCGAAAATCCATCCGCCTGCAGCTCCCCAGTCTTCAGCTTTTCAGACAAAACGTTGTTGCGCCGAAGATGAGTGCCTCACTGGAATCAGAAGGGTTAGGATGGAAAACGGAACCTGGATGATGTTCATGCTGCACAATTGGATGATTTTTATGCCGAATATGTGCCGAATATCTGGATCATATCTGGATCATAACTCATAACACGTTTTGTTGGGGCAGTTGGTCCGTGGACACCACGGGCCGCTACGGGCCATCTACAAAAACCGATGTTTCGTTTGGCACAAAATGGCAAACAACAAAAAACTCAGCACTTCTGGGCCCATGGCACAAACGTTTGTACTGAAATTTGTACGCCTTGGTTGGACAAGGTGTAGGTGTGCAAGTTCCAATGGCTGGAATTGTGGTGAGGATTCCTTTCCACCAAACCCTTAGATGATCAAACACCACATATTGCTTGGGATCACCTGACACTTGTGGCCTTGCGACAAATGTGGCGCAGGGGGAGCAAAAAAATGCGGATGGTTTACCTGCCAGATTGGTGATGTTCCATTCTCATCTGAAATTTCCGGAAAAATAACAACATGTGATGGATAAATCACCCTCGAATGGCCAATGTTGGATTCCCACACAAACTAAGTGGATATGGTTTCGGGAATATGATCTACTATGAGAAACAACATCTTTTGTCAGTAAGATTTGCCAGTCGCAATCGGTCATGTTTCGGTTCTCAAAAGCGGGTAGCAAGGCAATTCTCACAACACCGACCGTTGATCATCAACCATCCACTTGGAGGTCCCCAACATATCGATATTCCTACAAGGTGAGACCCCCGTCATAGCTAAGTTGAGGCACGTTTAACTTGGTTAACTAAGGTTCATGGGGGATGATATAACTATGACCATAAGTATATACATATAAGTATAGTTACTGGTTTTATAAAACAACTTATAAGTGGGGAGCCTCACCTCGTAGGGGGCTCCCAATCATTCCCCATTTATTTCTAATCACCTCAAGGTACAGGAACTCCCCAGGCCTTGTAGTGTTCACTGCCCTCTGCAAGACTTTCACCTGCCATCTTCTCAACCATGGGTCAAGTGGCAAACTTGGGGCTCTCAAAATCTTGTTGATCCAAAAATGGGAGATGCCAATTATCTCAATTATCCAATTTACAGCGGGAAAAAAAAGGGGAAATGAGGTTTGAACGTTTGAACCCCCCAGAGATTTGGCGACGCCAAATACTTTGACCTGGGAATCCCAACAAATGTTTGCGAGGGCGGACTTGTCGCTACTTGCTGTGCAAAGTGTGCTGACACCACGGTATCATTGGTGTCATGGTCCCTGGTAGGATGTAGATCCGAGCTGTCGAAGAAATTCAGCCGATCAACTTCCGAGCTATGGACAGGTGGCAAACAACGACCTTCACCAACTCAACCCCTCAAGCGTGTCACCAGCAAGTGGATTGGAAGGTACCATCTCCTGGCCTTTGGGGCAAGCCACTTTCAACATGCCGCGTTCTATCCTCAGTTCTGGTAAAGGGATCACAAACTGCGGAAAAGAATACAGTCAAAAGCAAAAATCTGGTGGGTCCAATGGGCCTCAATAGGCTGTTCATAGCACTTCTACTTGGGACTGATTATCCTGCGACATCCTGCGACATCCCTTGCAACAAGTAGCTCGGTCGCAAGTCGCTTTCCAAGCCCTGACTTCTTGTCAAAGCCCTGGATCACCACCTGGACTTAAAACACCAAAAAAATCTATTGGCATATGACAATTGAAGAATCAATGTTCTCCTTTTGTTGTGTCCCCATGTTTTTCACATCTGGATAGCAAAAACTGACTCATCTCCAATAAGGCCCATCTGGCAACAGTTCCCATCCCAAAATCCAATAAGCGACGTAAGGTCCCAACATCATTTATCCGGAAACAGACCCAAATCGGATATATTTAGTTGCATTGCATCCCATTAAATCACTTATATAAAACATAGATGATATGGTTGGTTAATGTTGGTTAGATGATGTTAGTTGCATGCCGTGAAATCCATTCCGCTGCCTGCCGCTTTTCAGCATCCCTATCTTTCCTGGCGCGGAGCTGGCCAGCTTGTTCCATTTCCGGACAGACAAGTGCGGGTATAACATCATAGCAATAATAGCAATCATGGTAATATAGTAATACTAATAATAGCACTAAGAGTAATAACAACAATAATATTGGTATGACAAAATTTGGATGTTTGCCTCAAGCCAACAAGAAATGGCCGAAACATCCCAAAAAAAGCATGCAAAGACGAGAGCCTCTCGGCTCCGGAAGCCGCACCTGAACAAGAAACTGCCCCGATCCAAGATGGTGAAACCAAACACCCAGTGGAGCATCTCCAATCACCCCTTTAAGATAGCCATTCTATCATAGTCTAGCAGCCTAGCAAAGGAAAATTCGATGGCCCATACTACTTGTTTTAGCTGGGAAGGCTGGCCCTGGCAATGGCCGACTCCTGGTGTTTTTTTCCACCTGGAGGATGGAATTGCGACTGGTCCACGCATAACCAACATGATCCAACAAAATGATACGAGTACTAATAATGTTGGATAATGTTGGAAGATACAGTACATAATGATAATGAATGATAATGATACATACACTATCAGGCGTTCTCCTTTCAAATTGGAAGACCTTGAAGTGCCGGTGATAGTAGACAGTTTAAACCTGGAGACTTTCCCACCCCACGGACGGTTCTGACCTGGCCTTTCACTCTGTTTGCCATCGCCACAGCAATGGCTGCATCGCAGCCAAAGTATCAAGATCTGGGGATGAGTATGCTTAGTCAATAGTCAACCAATTTCAACTAAGAATGTCAACTAATGACATGTAATGACTGCTTTTTCCATGATGGTCAACCAATTCTTCAACACTTGTGCCACACTCTATTGTGATTGCAGGGGAGCATCGCATCCCTGGCCGCCTTATCTGTAGTTTCACTTGGCTGAAAGCAACCATGTCTGAATGAAGCTGCTGAAAGAAAGCTTAACCTGGACCTTCCACTTAAGTAGAGTTGCCTGGTAGAAGTAGAGTTGCAAATCATGCAGGTGTTGAAGCCCACTTCAAGTGAGCCAGCAAATTTAGATCCAAACCTTTGAGCAACCCGATTCAAGTCCCAGAATTGATGGGAAAATCTGCAGGAAACCCAAATTGTTTAAAAAACAAGAGGAATCCCTGATTTTTTTCTCCAACACCCAATGATCAACCTCCTGTTTTCGGCGCTCTACCATCCCAAGAAGCTGCGCAAGCATGGACCACAACGGCGCGTTTTTGTGTTTGTCACACACGTCTTCAGATATAACGCAAAAGATACAAACAGAATAATCTTGATTTGTGGGCTGTTGATCTATAAATAAATATACATATATATAAATAGAGTGAAAGACTACATGATCAACAGACTCTTGACAAAAGTCCACGTTCTGAATCATTCTTCTCCCATTGGTTGGACAGGAATTCAAAATATTCCACACTTCTCTAGAGGTTTTTTCTCAGAACTAACTGATAACGGGTACTGTAGCATCTATAAATAGTATCAATGATGTATATAGATCTAATCAATGAAAAATAAAGTTAATATCAGTAAATATGGGTGCCCAAGCTAGTCTTTGAAAACCGCATTGGATCACCTATTGTCCAAAAATCCCCTCTGGACCTTGCAGATTGCCATCTGAGAAAAGCTGGCTTCCAGGTGTTGAGATCTTCCCAAATATCATGTGTATATATATATATGATATTATGTATGTATGTATGTATGTATGTATGTATATATATACATACATATATACATGGTTGATTCATGCCGACTCCATATCCATGTCCCATTCTGTCTTCATCCTGGTGGGTAATTTTATACCCTCCAGAAACTGTCTTGATTCAATCTGTAAACTTTGTTTTGATAGATCAAATCAAAGAATGTTTGATGATGAAAAGTGATGACATTCCATGTCCATTGCTGGTTACCCTCTGGTAATTTAACATAACTATTGAAAATGACCATTTTTAATGGTAAAATCCACTATAAATTACCATTTTCAATAGCTATGTTAAATTACCAGAGGGTACACCTCCATCGCTTCAAAAATCTCCGCCTGGATGCTCTTCTGGGATGCCGCAGGTGCTGCCGGTGTTGAGACCTGGCTGCTGCCCTGTGGCCCTGGCCCTTTTTAGATGGACCATCCTGGAGTGAAAGGTCACTTTCGGCAGTAAATCATGGGATTAATTTTTCCGCATCAAAATCATGGGATGCTTGAAAGCCTATAAAAAAAAATGGCATAAAAACCATTCATGGGGTTATAACCTGCACCACCTTGGATGGTTGAAAGCCTATAAAAAATGGTATAAAAACCATCTACCAACTGCAGGATTTCGGGAAACCATCCACAGGATTGATTTTTGATAATCCCATCCCCCCGTGGCGATGTTGCTGGTCCCGAAGATGTGTAAATCTCCCGAAACCATGGTTTATGGGGCTTGTTTAATATTAGGGGGAAGGGATTCTGTCTTATGTTCTGTCAATCTTATTTTGGAATATTTGAAATGAGTGAATTCCCAGTGACAAGAAATTTATAGTCTGGACCGCCAGGTGCTGTTAGCAGCAGCAGGTAAGGTTGGTTTTTCAGTTTTCAGCTCTCGGGGGGAAAATTGCTGAGGTTTTTGGGAAATCCCCACCAGAATTTACGTTTTGGTGGGAGATCTCCGGAATCAATCCAGTTTTTTTTACACCTGACGAGACTGGATCCTAGATTCGGTTTGCGAAGCATTTATATAAGTACAAGTCATGGAAAATCACCATAGGTCCTCAACATCCCATGACATCTGGAGTGATGGTACCCCAAGCGCTCCCATGTCTACAATTTTTTTCCAGAGGATGTCATGGTTGTCATGGTTGTCATATATGTTGTCATCTCCCTGAGTTTGTGGCTGTCTTGATCTCAGGCGGCCTCAGCGGCTCAGCCAACCGAATATATTCGATCTAAAGCATAGTTCGGAAGAAAGATCACCTGCGAAGACCAAGAAATTGGATCTACATTTTCCCCAGCGGAACTCTGACTGGGCAAGCCTTTGGTTGAAAAATGTGCTGTACCTCGAATATTGAAAGCACGCTTGTCCAAAGGGCATGCACTTCAGGATATGGGTTGTTCACGCGTTAACCCCCAATCAGGCATTGGCTTCGCAAACGGGAAATTGCCTAAAACTGATGGGAAACCAATGGATGTTGGATAAGTTGGTGATATCTTGTTCTTTTTGGACAACGGACAACTCCAATGGGTCACCAACCAGCTTTCCCAAACACCTGACCCCAGGTTTCCCCTACGCATGGGCAACGTTGGTGGTCTTTTTCCTCAAGTCCTGTCGGGAACAGCAAGTCATCACTCAGATCCCAGTAGAAACGTGTTATCTTTCGTATCTTTCGACATTAGAGCAATCTTCTAGCACAAACAAAATCACTCCCAGAACAAAAAAACCTGGGCCCCGAAGTTGTGTGTATCTATGTTCTTTGTGTTGCTTGTTCGTATCAGTTTCAACCAAAGTATGATTCTTGTTTGGAAACTCATGGAAGAACAAAACAAAGTGATTGTAGCAAAGAGTATGAAAACAATTCTTTACTGGAAAAAAATGTGCTGTGAATTTTGGTTGCAGAAGATGCCGCAAATCTGTTCCGCATACGTGCCATGCGTCTCCTCACGCTTCACGATCTTCTTGGGTCGTTCCACATACGTGCCATCTGCCTGTTTCAGCAGCAGGATTTGTACAACGACACGTGAGAAAGGCTAAGACTTTAAGAGCAGCCGCTAGTTCTGGGCCTTCTGGGCCTTCTCTAACAAATTCATACAAAATCCTAATAAAAGCAATGCTCTTGAGTTGAAAATGGCTGTTCAAATCAGTTGCCAGTTTCATCCATTGGTCCATTGGCAAGCTGGTTAGGGAAGACAACAGCTGGGTTTATTTCATCTTCTTCCCACCACGGCTCCGGTGCCAACCTTTGCCACCACATCTGACTTTGTCTTGGCATACGCAATGCCTTGCAGCACTGCAGCATTGCTCATGAGCTGATCGAAAGAGAAGTTGGCCGTACCATCAATTGACATAGATGCACAATGTTTCTCACAAGCCAATCTGCTCTGCGCGGTTTTAAACCCCTGATATCAGGCCATCAAAACATGTTTGAAACCATCAACCCATCACACCCGATCATATCAAGACTTCACTGAGTCCCATTGGGCCCATTGGGCCCATGGCATCCCTATGCTCTGCATTGCAAGGTGTCCCAATAGGCTGGCCGGACTGGCCAACACACGTATCCCACCCTGAGCTGGGTTTGCCGGCGCATTGGCTTGTTGTAGAAAGGGAAACCCTGCAAAGACTTCAGCGAGTTGGTAGCAGCTGACACCTGCGATGGTGTAAAAGTCCCCGTCTGGGTGGGTGAAATCCCATGACATCGAAATTGGTAAACAAAAAACTGCTGACCGGTGACCCAAAAAAAAACGCATCATTTTTTTTTTCTGTGCCTCAAACTCATTGACATTTGTGACATTGGCCATCATTGACTCACAAAAATGGAGAGTTCCATCCCCAAAAAAAGTCAACACGCCAGCCATTCCTGGGTCCGTTTGGGCACCCCATGCACGACTCACGCGGCTCCCACCTCCTTGAAGATAATCCAAGCCTGTGGGAAGTCGATCAATTGAACTGTTTGAAAAAAACTGGGTGATGGTCATGGATTATTGTTAATGTCAACTCCGGATTAATAAACCATGGTTTATTAATTAGGGGGGTACTCCTCCAATAGTCATAATCCAATACTTAAATGGTACCCCCCCAATTAACCAGCCTAGGGGTTTATTAATCCAGGGTTGACATTAATGGATTATTGGGTGATCTTGGTTTAATGGATCCCTTGGTGATCTTGAACAATGTGTCTTAACCAATCTTCAAATGGGTAATGGATTTAATCTTGGTAAGTGTAGCTACATGTAGCTACCGTAGTATACTGAAATGAAAAAGAGCTTTTGAATGATGTGTGCTATGTGGAGAGAAACATGACAAAATTCGCGAGGAAGCCGCATTGTCATTTGGGTGACATTACTCTCATAGAATCAGCCAGTGTCATCCATAGTCCAACCTCCAATCAGCAATATTGTTATCAGGTCGCTGTTAAGGGAATATGGCAGTGTGTCAAAACCTTGTACCCCTGGTGAACATCAAAATAGCTGGTAAATGGATGGTCATTCCCCTAAAAATGGTATTAATAGGTATTGATCCATACCCATATCTAGGGGAAACACATTAACCAACCATTAAGCAACCATTAAGCAACATTAACCAAGCAGCCTTCCGGATCTCCTCCCTGCCTGCCCTCGTCGTTTCAACGACTTCATGGCAATGATGTCTATGATGCCACCGAAAGCTGCAAAAACCTGCACAATGCACACACCCTGGTACCCTGTACTTGTCATGTTGGAAATTCTTCGACTATGTTGGTCTATGTTGATCTATGCTGGTCTATATCAACCCCAATTTGGGGGCAGTTGGTCTTGAACCCATACCCAGGACGCTCCAAGAGCAGCGTTCGGACATGCACCTCCCGCAGGGATTTCTTAAGAGTCTCAACATTGATCTTGTCGTTGAGGTTGTTCACATACCTGCCGGATTTTTTATGGGAATAGGACAAGCCAGATTAGAGCCTTAAATTACCAGCAATGCCAGCCATTTTGATTACCTATCTCTTCCCGCAGCGGGTAACGGGCTTCCAAAACCCACTTTCCAAGTTCCAATCAGCAGATCCTACCGGATCCTACCGGATCCTACCAACCCTGAGCTTCCAACAAAGTCTGGTTCGCTGCCTTGGACCGTTGATCACTTGTGTGGCACGATAATCACTGAAGTTTCCAGCAGAAATTCGTAGAAATTGACGACAAAACACCAACTCTAAGTTTCAGACCATGGTGCACTGCCGCAACAGGCACCAACCAGCAACCCACCCTCGTCTTCCTTGAAGAAAAATTACAGCAGGTGGATCTGACAAATCGCTCTGACTGCCCTGATCCGTTCAGGGGACTGACAACAGGACTTTCCAAAACCACGCACTTCACAATATTTCACAATAATATATAACTTGTTCTGCATCATTATGAATATGTTCGTCCAAAGAAACTTCCAGCCATTGATCAATTTGATCATCCGTCTGAGAAAAGCAGAACGTGGAGGCCTTATATCATCATGTCAATCATTTCTGAAACGGCATTGGAATTCTTTATAGGGTAGCCAATATCATCTGACATGTCCTGGCCAAAACCGAAACCTGGAGTCATGAAACCTGCCCCAGCTCTGTGGCTTTTTCAGAAGGGCCCACTTAAACGCGCCTCAATGTGAAACTCATCGGCGCCCAAGATCCAAGCGATCAGATGCGAAAAAATCAGAGGTTGGTCTGAGGTTAGTGTGACTCGTCTGACTCGTCTTTTCAGTTTCAGAAAATAGTGTAACGTAGTGTAACTTCCTTTTCCGGTCTCTCTTTTCGTTCGCATCTAAGCGATCTTTTGGGCGGCCAAATGGTGAGACAAAGTCGATCATTTCTCAAGCGACCAGCTACCAGCCATGCTCGTGCATACCTCCTGCTGGCCAGCCAGGGATGCGCTTGTGGGAAATGGCAGTTCCAAACCTGGCAGGCGTTGTCCAGGTGGGGGCCCTGGTTTGATGGCCACGCCGAAAATATGGGAAAATGATGATCAAGCATGGGATTTTTGATGATTTCTTGACTGTATTGTTGGGGTATCCATGGGTATCCCATGAAAAACAGAGCCAGATATGGGTGGTACCAGTGGCAGATCCAGAGGTCCACCAAGAAACATCCAGTTGTAGGGGATATAGTGGGGATAGGCAACAATAAGTCGCATGGAAATCCGGCAGTCTGAAAAATCACTTCTAATACTGTCGAGATTCAACACATATATTGGAATTCTTAGCGCAGGAGGTGAGGTGCCCAATGTTAGGACATAACTGATGTCCGTTTGTCCATGCATTCCGGCCATCTTGCTGCCACCACCCTCTCAAAAACAGTGGCACCAAACAACACGCCGGCCACTGGAAAAAAAACATGCCGCGCCTCAAGGATTTCGCGGCTGTGGCACTCTGTCGATCAAAGAGGATGCGCCTTTCCTTTTCTTCTCGGTTGCGTACATGCTGTTCGATATCCTCAAGCCTGAGTGTAACGAAAAAAACAGGCTGAAAATGGAAACACCTGCGGAGTTTTTTTGGGTAAAATTGGATACACCATGATACACCTAAATCTGCTGGTATCCCTCATTCTGGGACAAACCCATCTGCAGGATATTGCGCAAGGTATCAGCTCTGCACTCTGCAGTCCTTTTGGAATAAAAATATCCGGATCAGTCAACAGTCACTGGTTCGATTCATGAGCAAAGCATCCTGAATCCTAAGTTCTGCTTTGCTTCCCTGCTGCATTTATCAAAATACTATATTCATCCATACAAAGTCTGTTTCTTTTTGGTTTCGGAGATGACTTCAGCGGTCTTTACGTTTCAACTTGCAGATTGTCAGGACCATCAGGACAGATCAGGACCATGATCCAATCACGGCAAGGAGCCAGGCTTGTCGTGCTTGAATTCTAGCAGCATAGCCAGCCCGCAACTCATCACTGAAGGTGTCATAGACCACCTGTGCCCCAGAATTTCGATGGTTCATCATCATCGTCCCATGAAAATTGGGTCGTTATGGGATATCCCATGTTGAAAGACGTCTTTTTCCGCGGTGCAAACATGCCCATTTTAAGGCAAGGACTGTCCACTTTATCATATTTAATACATTTTAATACGGCAAGATGGCCCGCAATCCATGAACAGATCCAACACGTTCCACAAAAGAGGTTTGAAGTCTCTGGCTGAAGGGCTGGCACAGCCACGGCCACTTTTTTCCTGAACCAACTATGGTGGAACCTGGAAGAAGCTCCCGTTGTGCTGTGGTAAAGCCATTGAGACTCCAAAGATGGGATGCATTGATGCTGAATTTATTCACCGAAAGGATACCCACATCCACCAATAATGCACCACCTGTACCAATTCTTTGCTGTATACTATCACCATTTTTCTTGGGTTGAAACTGTACTTTTTTTAGTCGGATTACCAGTTTAATCCAAGTTTATCTATTGTTCAACCATCATTCGACCAATTTCATGCACTTTAAGTCCGATGTTCTAGCTTCGTTCATGTCAATCAATAGAGGTATTGGATGGGTTTTTCAACATGTTAAAAACAGATTGGCCAAGCTATTTCAAGATAATGTGGTACCCTCTGGTAATTTAACATAGCTATGGAAAATCACCATTCTTGATGGGAAAATCCACTATAAATGGCCATTTTCAACAGCTATGTTAGTTTACCAGAGGGTAAACCCAATGTCATAAACCATCCCCAAGTTTGCGGCTAATTATTGGTCGTATACCCCTAGCAATGGGATGATTATTTCATGACCCCATTGCTATTGGCGAAAAGGGCTCATGGCTGGATGGGATTTACCACTCTGATTGAGATAGACATCCCATAAGATCCCACAAAAACCTATGTTTTTTTGAATGAAATCCCATGAAATCCCATGAAATCCCATGACATTTCCATGAAATTTCCACGAAATCATATCAAATTCCATGAATCTCAACATTCTCAACGAATCTCAACATCTTTTTTTGGCCAAAAAAAAAACAACCAGCCGTGGCTGGCGGGCCCTGCCTCCTTGGCCGCCATGGCCTCATAGGCCGCGGCCACGGAAGTCCGACCACCCGCCTCCATGGCTCGCAAGGCGTTCTTTTCCATCCTGGGAGGAAAATGGCGAGGAAAGGTTCTCAAAACCACTGGGAATCTCTGGAAAATGTCATGAAAATGTCCAGATATCATCAGATATCTATTGATATCTCAGATATATCTCAGATATTTCATGTTTGGGACGATTCGTGAGATGAATTCGGAGATCTTGCAATGACGTGATAGTGTTGGATGTGGATTTGGGGGTGATTTTGGGGATGACTGGATATCTGGATATCAGAAAGGTTGGGAGATCTCAACCAACAAAAAGGGGCCCTTTGTGGCATGGGACTTGGTGAAAGTTCAAGGGGAGGATGTCAAGACAAGATTGAGAGCGACTAGCACTGAATCTGGCTGGTGGTTTTCAACCCCATGGGTACCCCCAGAGCATCCATGTTAATAAGATGTTCCATTATAAACCACTAATAAACCATCCAGCTATTTGGGGGTACCCCTTTTTTTCGGAAACCGCCCAGTGTTGAGCATCCATCTCATCCGTTGGGATGAAAAGTATCCAATTCAATGATCAAGCTGTCCACCCATCAATCTAGAATACAATCTCTTGATAAAGAAGTCAGTCAACCAATGATCAGTCAATCAACCAACCAACCAACCAATCAGTCAACCCACCGGGAAACCATCAATCAATCAACCCGCCGGGAAAATCAGACCATGTTGATTTATTGCACAACTACATAAGAGCTTTGCCATGTTTTTTCTTCAAACATTCCCAGGTCAGAAAAATTTATGCCGGGCAGCTGGTATTCTTCATCATCGCTATCTTCAGCTTCCTCTTCCATCAGCTCAGCTTTGATACTTCTGGCCTGTCGAAACCGATGAAAAATGCCATGGAACCGCAACATCTGGACTGATTGCATCCACGTTCCTCTTTTATGACAATGCAATCTGGCAAGAACTTGGATTTGCTTAAGATTGCCCCCCCCCAAAAAAAAACACGTCCATATATTTATTACAGATTCCCCATTTCAAACGCGGATGTCCAATTGAGAAAATTGAAATGTCACCTCCAGCAAACCTCACCCAAAGTCGAAGCTCCCACTCCCACCTCGGCTTTGGTAATCTTGTTTCCACTGCCCTTCGACATTAGACCCCCCATGGCAGGCGAAGCGAGGGAACTGAGAGGCGAAGGTGCAATTTGATGCACCTGACGAGTTGTTGCCGTTGTTGCTGTAAGGTATTTCGGTATTTCCTTCAAGACCTTTCCGTAGCTCAGACTTCATGTTTATCCCAAAGGTGGAGACCTTTCCATCTTCTCCAAGATGATATGATGAGTCTTGGTGGAAAGCCAGAGGGGGTTGTGTCCCGGCGTTCCAAACCCATCCAGCTGGATTGAGTCAATTGGATTAACTTGAGCCGAGCCAGGCCCGAACAATGGGCGAAAGTGAAAATTGGATAAAATTAGGACTCTTGCTATCACACGATTTCTGTGGTTTCTGAGGCCGTGCCATTCAACCGGGAGATTGTGCAACTCAAACCCAAGTGATCCAAGTGTCCTATCCGGAATCTTTCCGGATCCAAAGAGGGCTCTGGCATGTCCAGTACGAACTCAGTCATCACCCAGTTCCTCCTAGCTTTTCGGATCACACCCACACGGAGGTTGAAGATGGGGACCTATTCTGGATGGAACATCTCCACTTGTTATACTGTTATAAGATGTTATAAGTGATAATGTTATACCACGATTGTCCTTTTGGATCTGGTGGACACATGTGGACAAGAAATCACACATGTTATCGGTTTCTCTTCGGACTTTCCTCAACCTCGGGGTAGAACCCTTTGCCAGCTCCACATGTCACATGACAGGTGCAATTGCTGCGGCTCTTTTTGCACCACTTAAGTCGGCCTCAGTGGGAAGTGGGGCCATGCTGCGTTTCAAGGTTTCTGAAGATGGCCTGAGAAGAAACGAATCTTGGTAAGTCACATCACTTCAGAGGTCCAACCATGGTGGCTCCACGTCACAGCCAACAGCAACAGCCAGAAATTATGCCGCGGACGCATCCCACATACTTTCACCCGTCAGAGGGTTCCAGTAGTAGTTCAATTCGTAGTCTTTGTCGAAGTGCTCCTGGCGATCGATTGAATTGTTCCAGCCAAAACCCACGCACATGGAAAAAAAAGAACTGTCTGGGAAGGGTTGTCCCCGAAACAAGAATCAAACATCTAAAACCATGGAGCAACTGCTGCAGATGCCCACCCTAATGGCCAAACCTTCACGGCTTGTAGCTCCGAAACACGATGAAACAGACTTCGTTGTCTGATGTTGTTTACAAAACGTACAAATATTAATCATCATGTCACGTAAGTCTGGATCAGTCCTCTGGAAATGGACTGTTAGTGAATCCAAGCAAAATCCATGCAAAATCCATGCAACACACTTTAGATCCGCATCGATCTGCTGGATGGCACAGGTTTTCCGTGTTATTCTCGTTGACTCGCACCTCCCACGGATGAGGAAGTTTCTTCCTTAGCCGTGGCTGGTAGTTCATCTGGCGGCGTTTTTTGTTGATGTTGTTGTGGCTCACATGACCATGCCCAGGCAGACATAAACTATGTATATATATATATATATATATGTATATATACACTATACATTGATAAGGTCAACAAACTATGTAAACATTGTTACATTCTTAGCCTCAAAAAACGGGGCCATCGCCATATCGCCATGGCCATCCCCTGTTTCGTCCCGTCCCAGGGATCCCCACCTTGGTGGCGCTGTACGAGGAGGGATCGGAGTTCTCGACCTCGACAAAGGTTTTCACCCAGGACATTGATAAAAGATGTGATTTTCGTGGTTGTATGTGGTTGTTAAGATTAATATAGATTAATTAATGCAACATATAAAACTCATTTTTTTAGATGTGAATTTCTGAAAGATGTGAATCTATCTAACTTTTTATCATAGTGTCCCAAAGATGTGATAGGGAATAGGATTCCTAATGTTAATGTTTAAATATCCTAATATCATGTTTGCTTAGGGATGTTTTTTATAGTTGGTGTTGCCAGTTTTTTTTAACCCAACAGCAGCGCCCTTACCGGGTGCCCGAACCGGGTGCCATCAACTGGGAGTCCGGGCCGATCCCCATTAGCTTCTGACCTTTGACATTCCGTCCCAATGAGGGTCCCAATGAGGGTAGCCGTTTGGGACGTCCCCAGTTCCTAAAAAATACTGACAGTAAGATATCAATATTTTGGCACAATCTCGTGGCATTGTGTTCGGGAAGTGGATTCTCAGCGCAGGAAATGAACCACTTGCCACATCTTTACTTCAATCATGAAAAAACATAATGTTCCACCCACCCACCTCCGAAACTCTCTAAAATGAAAATAGCCCACTGGAAAATTCATGGAACTTTGCATCATTCTAGTGCCTGGGCTGTATACCCAAATTCCCTTGTGGGAAAATTCAGGATATGATCTGCTCTTGGTGTTTCCAACATCGCCATATCTTGCAACTGCAGCTGACCCCGATTTGGCTGTCAAACTCTTATTTTGAGTCAACTGATGTGTATGTATATTTACACAATTTATACAATTATATGTATATGTAATATATATACATATACATATGTACATATACAAAGAGTTGTCATGCCAAATTCGGTGGAAGTCTTAGACACGAAAACCAGCGATTTTCAAAACTGTGTCCGGTTCTCCGGTGATGTCCGGTAAAAACCACGCAGCGTGGCCTTTGTGGCAGCATAGCGCCCACACTTCCACGTGGCCTGAAAAACGCTGCGGTCACCATCGGCTGCTGGGGATTCATCCGATGACTTGGAAATGTGAGAAAAACACAGTCAGCCGGTGGAAGGTGTGATGGCAACCAACACCCAGTCATACAGACCATAATCATAATGTGTGGTTTATATGTGATGCAGAATGGACCATATATTATGTGGAACATATCACCATATATGTACAGAATGGACCATATATTATGGATATACAAACCCAAACCATAATGACCATAATGACCATAATGGATACCATATAAACATATATAAACCATGGTATATACCGGTTTGACACCCAATGACCAAGATCATCAGTGACCGGTTTCATGCCACCGTCGATAACTGAGACTGGCACTTGCGAATGACGCCTTTGGACCTTGGAGCTGGGCTCAGTGATAGTGGGGCAGTGGGGATCACGGTGCAGCAGTGATGCGGAGCAAAAGCTGACAGGAAACATCTTTTCAAAATGGATGGATGGATAGCCTTTTGAAATTCAAAACAAGAATAAAAGGTTGCCATTGGTTCCCGATGAAATGGTCAAAGAGTCAAACCAACTCAGAACTTTCAGGCCGCGGCGGCACAGTGCCCGCAGTGCCCGCCGCAGTGCCCGCCGCAGTGCCCGCCGCAGTGCCCGCTGCAGTGCCCGCAGTGCCAGCAGTGCCCGCAGTGCCAGCAGTGCCCGCAGTGCCAGCAGTGCCCGCAGTGCCCACGCTCCCGGGGGGCAACTTGCGAGACGACGGCCTTGTGACGCCAGCGTCGAAGTATCAAGGGACGTCAAGGGACGTGGGGAGTTGGAGGAATTAGAATTCCCGGATAAATGGAGCTTTTAATCGGAGAAAATCATCTATAAATCATGGGAGATTGTCCATTGCTTATGTTCGATTGCCGGAGGGTATTCAACAAAGGCAAAGGTTCGGCGAGTCTTCAGAGTAGTGGCGTTTGAAACCAAGCAATTATGACCATCCCAGGAATGCTTGACTACAAACAATATGGTGAGGTTACGTATTTATAGTCATGTGGAGAACTCAAGGTTTAATGTATCTACAATTAGTAGATGGTGGAAGAGATTGACACATTTGACACTACAGTCTACAGCCAAAGATGAAATGTGAAACTTGGTGAAACTGCAGTCAAAAACAGCCAGCTCTGAGAATGCCACTGCAGAGTTGCGGACCTGAGTCATCCCGCACATCTGTGCACATCTCATGTGAAACTGCAGGCTAATAAGGGCTGTAGCCTCCAGCCCTGTTTTGGGCTTGAAATGGTGACATGAAAAAACCACAGTTGGAGGTATGGTTGAGCGAGAACCCTCAACTATTTTGCTGGTATGCTCAGCTGTAGCTGGTTAGAATTCAAGAAAAAAACATGATTCCAATAGTTCCGGTTCAACTATGAGGTAAATAGTTTCGGAACTAGTTACAAGTGGTTTCCAGATAGTTGCAGGGTTTAGATACAACTAATTCAGGGACAAATTGGCAGTTAGTTCAACCCCAATCCCAGAACTAGTTCCAGGGTTAGGGCTTCAACAGAAACCTGGAACTCTGGTTCCTAAGTTTTGGTTCATCGGGAACCCTGGAACCATTGCCCACTGTTGCCCTAGTTTGCATTCGTTCAATTCCACTTCTATGGTGTTGGTGGAACCAGAAGCTTGACTATAGTTTGGGGGTTGGGGTTCAACCAGCACACAGGAACTATAGTTCCTAGGTTGGGGCTTGACCAGAACCCTGGAAAAAACATGTTGCGTTGGAGTTTTCACCACAACAACTGAACTATATCTCTTGGGGTTCAACCAAAACCCCAGAACTATAGGTCTTGGGTTGGGTGACGAGAAGCCTAAACCCAACGTTTTTTTGGTTTTGGCTGAACCGCAACCCAGGAAGTAAAGAAGAACTGCGGAACTAGTTCCTGGGTTGATTAGAAAGCAGCAGACTAAGAAATATTGTTGCTCACCTTTCTGAATTCTGCCCCCTTCTCCCTTCCAAATTGAATGTAGAAAGCAGGGAAATAAGTGTTTCGCTTGTACCCTTAAAAGATCTTAAAAGTGAATGTAAACCGCAAGATGAAACACTGTAAATTTTAGGTGTACATATTGTACACAATATTAATCAACATATGGATGATGTGCATCATATGTGACACACAATATCTTGGCACATTTGCTCCGGAATCCAAGGATGTGGCTTTGCACCAGGGCTGCGGGAAGGCCTGAGCGCAACGTGTTTAATGGATCAAAATAGGTGGGTAAATGGATCTTCATCCTTTCTGCTTGGGGGTAGAGCATCATCATCTAGGACGGGAAATAGACCATGTTTGAGACCACCAACCAGCTTTAAATAGCCGATAAAATCATGTTCATCCCCCCCCAAAAAAAAGAGGTCTCATAGCTACAAACACATCCCAACGCGGCTAATACAAGATTGCAGGTGCAGCGGCTCAAACCGACAGTGTGGCTGTGTCTTAAATTTGCATACCCTGGAAACGGGATGATGAACATCCTACCAGGCAAGCATCACTCAAAATTGGATACCCTGAAAATGTCTGAAAATGGGAAAACAGTCGGATAACAAATCTGGATGTCTGAATCCATGGGTCACAAAAATGGATGCCCGGACATGGTGAAAATGTGGCCTGGCCACCTGGAATCCCCCACAGATTCATCTGGGCTTGCCGACTGCACAGCGGCGGGGTTTTCCCGTGGCGTCCTTAGCGTCCGACGATGAAGCAGTGCTGTGACCACGCTGTCGGAAGGCACAGTGCCCGAACAAACTCCCACCGCGGGGAAAGCAGGTCGGAAATCCGGCAAAACCTCGACGCCAGCCGCCAGCGATCGCCCTGAAGTTTCTATTGCTTTCTGCCGAGTCAGTACAGAGATCAAATCTCGCAGAGCCATCCAATCGTCCCTGTTCCAGCACCAAACAACACCACCAAAGGCCGCTTTTGACTCACATATCACCCACCATGACTGTCCGCCCCCAGAATGCGGCGAGCAAATCATCTCACGACATGAGGGGGTTCTGCACATCTCACCATGGGCACGAAAACAGCAAGCTGTTTCAAGGAGTTTCCTCCAAAATGTCAGGTCCCAATCTGAATTCAAACGGGGACCCCACAACAACACCCCTGCGTTTTAGATCCTGAGGGCGCTGCGCAGGCTTGGAATCCTTTGGCGGCACCTCAGCTCCACCACGACTCATCGGTCACAGGATGAGTGGTTGAAATTGGTGAACATGTCCCATGGAACTGTCAAACCAACGTTGTTCCTGCCCCTGACTTTGGCTACCCGAGAAAAAGTTAGCTCGTTAGCTCGGCATATGCCTGGAAAATATCTGACAAGCAGTATATCAGTATATCCAATACTGCAAAACCTGCGAAACGCAAATCCTGAAATCAGTAGATTGCTCCCGATATCCTCATCCCCCTTGGCAGAGCCAGAGGGCTTTGTGCTGCCTCGATCATCGTGATACAAAAGGTCAACAACCAAGAACTCATATGGAAAGTCCTTTAAATCTTCCGGAGCACTTTCCAAGTAATTATTGTTACGAAAATAGTCCAAAAAAAAGTATTCCATATCAAGAAAGCCATAAATAGGAGTGCATCCATGTATATCATTGTATATCCCTCTTTTTTTTGAACACAGCTTTCCATACCATCGGTGTTGCCCCACAGTTATAAGTTGGTTTTTGTCGACCCATCATCATGTCTGCTGTAAACCATAGAGTTCTCCGAGTTGGTTCATCGCAGATATCTCCATAAAATTTCCACAACGACACATCCCATGTTCAGGCCCACGAATGGTTTCGTAAATAGAATGGAATTCTTGGATATCCCATCTATTAGAACGAACATGTATGTATATGTACGTATGTGTATGTAATGTTATCTTAATGTTTCCAATCATCCAAAAAAGAAACAAAAGGTTGGTCAATATCATCCCCTCTACCAATCACCAACAGGGATAGATCTCCACCGGGTCCCCGGACCACCTTCGCTTTGCTCCTGGGCACCATGCCGCCTTTGGGCACCACCGGCGCCGGCACCGGCGGCGCCGTGGATGGCTCCGGCACCGGCGGCGCAGTGGATGGCTTCTCCAATGGCACGGGCCGTGGCATGGGACGCGAGGGTGGCCTGAAACACGAGAAACGTTGGGAAATGGAGAAAATGTTGGGAAAACCTTAGGACAACTGGGAAAATGATGAGATGATTTTTTGTTCCAGCTTCAAGTCGAATCAAACTGAAAGAAGTGATGAAAGATTCAGATCGCGCGGAAGGTTGAAACCTTTTGCTTCCCGGCTAAAGACCCAAATTTAAAAAATGGCCCAGTGGTGGCCCAGTGGGCTGGTCCAGTTCGGAATCCCTTCAATTACAACTGAATCTACTGGTCTTCCATCGATCACAGGCCCATCCGCCTGAAGTGACCAGGAGGCACGTGACCCGCGTGACCAGGGTCCTGAGTACAGATGAAAGACCCAAGTGTGCTGCCCAATTGAACATAGTGACATAGTGCCTTTCTGCCTTTCAGGTCAGGGCAAAAGGCTCATCCTGTGAGTTCAGTTGTAAAAAACTTCGAACTGATTCAAATTCTGAGATCCTTCACTTGAGCGGGTTTTCCACTGCAACTCCCAGATCCTTCACACAGAAGTACGCTAAGTTCAAGGCAAAGGCACGGCCTCAGCTGTCCGTAAACATTTCATCACTACGAAAATCGCTGGCACAACTGGAGTTGCAGCCTTCCCCTGTCTCTGACCAATATCCTACAGTTAGAATGGCCCTTGCCCATCTTCCCATCCTCCACAACCGCAAACATACAGACAACATTTCAAAGCAACCAACCCCCATAACATCACACAAACAAATCATAACAACCAAAGCATACCCATAAACCAATAAGAAATCAATCAACCAAACAACACAAATAAATCAGAACAACCAAGACATAACCAAAATCCAATGAGTAATCAATCAACCAAGACAATAACAAAACCATAGCAACAAGCAATCATCAAAAACCAAAACAACACCCCATCACAAAAATTATTCAACAAACCAACCAATAAGATTGTTGAATAATCCATGCCAAAAAATATTCAATGAACCAATCAAAATACAAACAACAAACCATCATAAAATTAGGGAGGGGGCAAGGTCTCCCTCATAGAAAACAATATTTCAAAAAAAAAACATAAAACAGTTGGGCAAGGTCGCCCTTATTCAAAAACTTATACAACAAAAATTACAAAACACCGACCCACCCAACACCAAACCCGCAATACACAAAGCACCTCCCAAGACAAATACAATAATCTATAACACAATCCCAAACACAAAGCGCCTCCCAACACAACACCAAACCCAAAGCACAAAACAAAATCCGAAGCACCCCCCAAATCCCACACAATAATCCATAACACAACCCAAAACCATAAGAACCTCCCAACCCCATAACCTTGTCCATTCTACAACCAATATCCTAATGAGGTGTGGGGTAAGACCCTAATAGAAAAAAAACAAAAACCCATAACCCCGAACTGGGGGATGTCGGACTTTCCTCATTTTGGTCACGAGCGCGCTGCTCCACTTCACTTCACTTCGGAAGGTTCTGTTCAAAGCACACAACCCATTGCTCAATCTTCTCAGCCATCTCTGGCTGTTTCACTGTCTGCACAGTCTTCCACTTATCAAACTGAAACTGCGGAACGACAAAGAAGAATTTGGCTTTGCTGTCATGCTTCTTGCAAAGTGCATCCACAATCTTATAATACGCCTGCGTCTTCGTCACGTCCATTGCCTTGCCACTGTCATTGAAGGTGATGTCATGTGTATCGGCAATCGTCAGCTGAAAAACGCCCTGTGAGGTCCATGAGTCAAAGGCATGAAAGTTTTTGCTCTGCGGCTGGTAGTATTCGCCATCCTTGATGTCTGCTGCGGGATTGCCCGAAATCAGCACTCCTTCAAGACCACCTTGGAGTTCCTGTGTTGTATCAGACCCCTTCCCCTCAGCTGTCAAGCATCTGGCTCGGAGCTTGAACTTGCCGATGGACTTGTCCTGCATGAACTGGTGGAACTCTTCCTCAAACAATGCAAAACCGATGCCCGTAATCATCCCATCATCAATACGATCCCAAAGAGCTTGGGCTCGTTTTGCTCTGTTTCGCTTCACCAGCTCTTGCCGAACATAGGGAGACGACAACTGCACATCAAACCAGCTGAAGTTTGGCCATGGCATCATCTTCACCAGCAAGTGCGTCGTCTTGCTTATGGCTTTCATGTCAGACGATACTTTAAGGCATTGCAGCGCATCTGCTGACTGCACGGCCTCTACGAGCCTTCTTCGGTCGACGCCTGCCCTTGTCTCGTCCAATCGCAACACGAGCCTCGCAGTGCCACCAAAGATGCCAAAGCGTTTCTCAACAACCTCTGTCGTCAGCTGGTGCAGAGCCATGACCTCTGCACTCAGCATCTCCGTCAACGTCCATGGTGGCATAAAGAACTGCCCACCGCAGTTGTCAGCTTTCTTGAAATGCTCGGTGTTGAACGCCGCTGTCTCGGGCCTCCGCGCAGAGGTAATCCACAAAGACTGGCAAAAGACCCCATGTTCCACATCAATGTCGGCATCCATGATATACAAAGCTTTTTGAGGGGTCGACTTCAAGGTCCTGACATCCACAAGCTTCGGCTCTTCGCCCTTCTTAAACCGAAAGATGTCGTCCCTCTGGTGCAGAAAAACTGGGAAGTCTTTAAGCTCATTGTCTTGGAAGCGACGCCAGATTAAATATACCATAAAATTGGACTTGCCGATCCCAGACGAGCCCAGCAGCGACATCACGGGGGGCTTTTTCTTCAACATGATGTCGGCAATTTCTGTGTAGCACCCCCGCACATAGAACTGCTTCTCGTCCCAAATTTCAGAAACGTTTTGCAACTTGAAACTGCCCGTTTCCGTTCTGAGAATTTGCCCTTCCAGTTTTGCATCATCCAAAGCTCGTGCGAAGGCCTTGACATTCTCGGGAACATCGCTCTGAACCTGAAACCAAGCAAAGCAGCCACAGAAACATAAACGCTATCTCACATCTCATACAACGGCATGCAGTATGTTTCTGCTAAGAGCCTTTTAGCCTTTTCTAGGCCCAATGAATCCCCAGTCAAAACCCTGGAGAAACCCATAAGATTCCCAAGATCACCCATGAAATTCCCACCAAAACCCAGGAAATTCCCAGACCAATGTGTTGCAGGCACCACAGCTTGACCATTGAACTGCTTTCATTTTTTCCCTCATGTGCATCTGTGTGCTCACAGCTAGCAACCTAGCACTCTCACCATCATAGCCACATCTGCCTGACAGGCAGCTAGATAAAGCTAATAAGACCATGAATTGCTTTTGTGGGAATGTGATCTGCAGACTAATGCATTGCAGTGCCATTCACTCAGTGCATCTTTTCTTTCCAAGCAGCAGGTGAAAGCAACATGCATCCAATCACCACTTGCACTGATAACAAAGCCAGCCAAACTTGCCTTTCAAACAAAAGAACAGCTTTCAGTATGTTCAGTATGATTTTTTTGTTTTTGCTTGCAGCTGAGTTGCCAAAAATGGTTCTACTTATATTGAGTCATTTGGCCAGCCTCTTGCTGTAGGACTTGCAGGGTGGAAGTTTTTTCAAAAAAGGTTCCAACCCTGTCAAAACTTCTTCTGGAACCTTGCCAGGCTCCTGAGGGGTCATGCCACCCTTCAGGGGCAAGGCCTTTTTCACATAAGACCATTTTGTCCAAATCCTTTCATGGCACTCAGCCAAAGCTAATCTCCAGGGTTTGTTGGTAAACCTTTTTGAAAAATGTTGGCCTCTGAGGTCAAGAGGCATTTCCTTAGGCTCAGGTCCAAGCCAAGTTGTCATGAACCTGTGATCATTAAAATTCAAAACCATTCGACATCCAGGAGGCATCATGCAACACAACACCTCCTGGGGTGTGGTGTAGATCTTGACCCTCCTCACTGGTTCAGCTGGGTCTGCATCCATGCCATCAGCACCCTCTGCCACTGGAGCTGCTGGCCTAGAAGATGAGCTGGCAGCTGCACCACCTGGTGGGCCTCCTGCAAGGCTGGCCCAAATGGAAATTGGTAAATTAAAGAATTGTCCTGATGACCACATCCTGAGATTGAAGTTGGATTGAAAAAAACCATTGACCACAACCCTAACTTCTAGTAAGAAATTTCATCTTGTCGTTTGTTAGTTATTCCACTTGATATTAACTATACCAAAATACACCCCATATAACTAATCCCCATCAAATGTCAGCTTCTGCTTGGTCTGCTGGGCCTGGAAGGCTACCAATTGGAAACTGAAGCTGGCTAGAAACCAAAACAATGCCACACTGCTCAATAGAAAATCCATCTTAGTGCTTATTGGCTACCCCAAAATACACCCCATACAACTGGCCCCCATCAATCCCAATGTGGGTCCTGGAAGGCTTTCTGGAGCAGCAGGTGTGCTGGGAGCTCCAGGTTCTGCTTCTGGATGCTGATCTGCTGGGCCTGGAAGGTTGCCAACTGGAAACTGAAGCTGGCTGCCTGGGAAACCAAAACAATGTGCCAATAGAAAATATATATCAATGTTTGCCAGCTACCCCAAAATACACCCTATACAACTGGCCACCATCAATCCCAATGTGATGTGGGTCCTGAAAGGCTTTCTGGAGCAGCAGGTGTGCTGGGAGCTCCAGGTTCTGCTTCTGGATGCTGATCTGCTGGGCCTGGAAGGTTGCCAACTGGAAACTGAAGCTGGCTGCCTGGGAAACCAAAACAATGTGCCAATAGAAAATATATATCAATGTTTGCCAGCTACCCCAAAATACACCCTATACAACTGGCCACCATCAATCCCAATGTGATGTGGGTCCTGAAAGGCTTTCTGGAGCAGCAGGTGTGCTGGGAGCTCCAGGTTCTGCTTCTGGATGCTGATCTGCTGGGCCTGGAAGGTTGCCAACTGGAAACTGAAGCTGGCTGGGAGAATCAACCAAAAACAATGTCACACTCAGTAAGAATCATGCATAGCAATGTTTTCTGGCTACCAAATACACCCCAGTTCAACTGGTTCCCATCAATCCCAATGTGGGTCCTGGAAGGCTTTCTGGAGCAGGTGTGCTGGGAACTTCAAGTTCTGCTTCTGGATGTTGATCTGCTGGGCCTGGAAAGGTTACCACTTGGAAACTGAAGCTGGCTAGAAACCAAAACAATGCAACCCTGTTCAATAGAAAATCCATCTATTAAAAGTGCTTACTGGCTACCCCAAAATACACCCCAGTTCAACTTGTTCCCATCAATCCCAATGTGGGTCCTGGAAGGCTTTCTGGAGCAGGTGTGCTGGGAACTTCAGGTTCTGCTTCTGGATGTTGATCTGCTGGGCCTGGAAAGGTTACCACTTGGAAACTGAAGCTGGCTAGAAACCAAAACAATGCAACCCTGTTCAATAGAAAATCCATCTATTAAATTATTAGTGCTTACTGGCTACCCCAAAATACACCCCAGTTCAACTTGTTCCCATCAATCCCAATGTGGGTCCTGAAAGGCTTTCTGGAGCAGCAGGTGTGCTGGGAGCTCCAGGTTCTGCTTCTGGATGCTGATCTGCTGGGCCTGGAAAGGTTACCACTTGGAAACTGAAGCTGGCTAGAAACCAAAACCATGCAACCCTGTTCAATAGAAAATCCATCTATTAGTGCTTACTGGCTACCCCAAAATACACCCCAGTTCAACTGGTTCCCATCAATCCCAATGTGGGTCCTGGAAGGCTTTCTGGAGCAGGTGTGCTGGGAACTTCAAGTTCTGCTTCTGGATGCTGATCTGCTGGGCATGGAAGGTCTGAAGGAGTGCTAGCTCTCCTTCTTCTGCCAAACCCTCTGCCTCTTCCAGTGCCAGCAGGCCTCCCCCTTCCCCTACCTTTGCCAGCAGGCCTCCCCCTTCCTCTCCCTCTCCCTTTTGCTTTGTTCCTGTCTGGCACTTGCTGATTAGCACCAGCACTCTTTCTGTACCTTTTCAATCTCTTTTTCTCCTTCAGCTCCTTCAAGTCAAGGGTGTTGGCATCCTCCTCATCCAAGCAACTCACAACATCCTCCAAATCACTATCCAAAGGTTGCCCTTTGGAGTTTGATTCCAATGACTCAAAAGCTTCTGCTCTTGCACCAGGATCCACCAGCACAGAATCAATCAACAGTTTCTGCAAGCCACTTTTGTTTGTACCAGCAGGGACTGGCACCTGGAGCAGCTGGAGAAGCTTTCTCATGTGGGCAACATTCAATGAGATGCCACTCTTGGCCATAGCCACTACCAAAGGCACAGGTTGCCCATCCAAAGCCCATTCAATGACACCAGCATCTGATAAGAAGGGCTTAGCAGGCACATGTAACCAATCCTTCAAGTCAGTGATGTGCATCCATTGCAAGAGCATCCTGTTGGGCCTCATGAAGTAGGTGCTGTTGCTGGAAACATCCATGTGCCATGTGAGGGCCCCAAACTCTGCAGCACCAACAATTTTCACCAGAGAACCAGTGGGCTGGTGGGCTACCAAATCACCACATTTGCAAATGCAGGTAACCCAGGCATCATCAATAGAAACCCCAGGGTGCTTGCCATCCATGTAAGCCATACACCACTCTGTGGCAGCCAAAGTTCCAAACAAGCTGGAAGGTGCAGGGGAGGGCCACCAATTGCTACCTTGTCTCTTCCTCATCATCCTTTGGAGCCCATCACCCAACTTGTGGCTCCTTGGGTTCATGGAATCCACCAGTTTGACTTTTCTCAAATTCTTCTGGTTGAAGATCAGTTCCTGTGGGTCAATTGCAACTGTGTTTTTGACATGTCTGAGTTCCAAGGCACCAGATTTCATGGTACCAAACATAATGGACACATCTGGGACATTGTTGTGCCTGTTGCCCCTCTGCAAATCAGGGCCCTGCTGATGAGCCACTTCAATGACCCTGCTGTCCCCCAAAGTTTGGGCAAGCAAACGCTGGAGAGGGAAAGCACTACCATCTTTGCAGGGCAAGCCTTTCAGCTGATCTTGCTCATGGGCCATGCAGAGAACCCTTGTGTATGTTCCAAGTCTCCAGAACATTTTCTCCAAAGCATCTACCTTGCCAATGGTGTGCAAGCTGGCAGCTTCAAGTTTCAAAAGAAGCTGCCATTCATGTAGCAGGTAGCTCCTGGTGTTCTCAGCTTCAAGGTCAGAAGGGCTCAGCACACCATTCCATCTCATTGGTGGCAATGTGTATGCTGCAGCCAGGGAAGTAGCCCTTGCTGAGAGGAGATGGTGAAAAAAGTCACAATGCTCTGCCAAAAAGCTCTCTGACACTGATGTTTGGAACATGTGCCTGAGCTCACTCTTGGACCACAAAGAGTTTGCAACCATATCCTCCAGCTCCAAGGCCCAGAAGTTGCTTCTGCTGCATGCCAGATTGTGTTCCAACACCTGCTGTGGCTGCACTATGTGCCTGGCCCTTTCAGCATGCAACTTCCATGTTGCTTTGCAAGTCAACAGCAGCATGTCCAAGGTGGCAACATTTCTGCTGGTCACCATTTTTGGTGCTAATTTCCAAACTCCATGTGCCCTCTTCAACTCATTGAGCTCCTTCTTTGCATCCATCTTGCTTTGGGCTGCTTCTTGTGGCCCAGGCTGTGCTTCCTGAATCAGTTTTGGGAGTTCTGCAGGGCCTTCTGATACATTGGTGTCCTTGAGCTGGTCAGACAGTAGGACAAGTTTTGTACCCCACAGATCTCCCCTCCACTCCAAAGCCACTTCAAAAAAAACTCATCCACCTCATCATCTTCACAAGCCCACCTTTCTTTTGAAATTGGACATGTAGGCCAGGCTCCTGAGCAATTCTTCCTCCTCCTCTGGTGTCTCAGGCTCCCTTTGTCTCCTCTCTCTGCAAATGTCTGAGATGTAAGACTGAAAGGTGGGGTCAGCTCTGGTCCTGGTTGGCAGGAAGTCTTCCATGACCCCCTGCTTTTTGTAGAAAAAAGCTCCTGACTGGAAAGGGGAATAGTTGATGTTGAACAAAAGTACCAGCTGCAAAATGCATTTCCAAGGGTACCCCAAGCTTTTCTTTGCACAGTTTTTCACATCATTCCACCCCCTGTGGAAATAGTCATAGTTCACATGGACCATCATCCCCTCCCCTGCAAACATAACAAAGTTCAAGCTGGCAGTGTTGCTTGGTCCCTGGTCACTGCATGAAGAAAGGGCTGGTAGATCTGATAGCTTCAGGTGGTTGGGTATCTTAGGCCTGGCCAAATCACCTGGCCCCACTATGTACCAAGCACCATTGAAAAAGACTCTGGCTTCTCCCTGTTGCAAAGGCCTTGCCACTAAATCAGGAGGAATCCTGAAGTGTTCCAAGCTGCAGCCTGTTGCCTGGAGAAGTGCATGTGACAGGCACCTCAGCTCTGCATACCCCTCAAGGGTACCCAATTTTGATGCCTTTGCCTCCTCTATGAAAGAATCTTGCAAGTCGCTCATTTGTAGCTTCCTCAGCTGTTGATTTGGCATATATGCCACAGTGTCAATCTCAGGTGAGTACAGGGTGCTGACCAGAGTGTTTCTCCCACCATAAGTTGAAGGATCCCATGCAGTGGAGAACTGCTTGGGGCAGCTGGAAAAAGCCTGCTTCACCTTCTGATTGTAAAGTGCCACTGATATCCTGGCCTCTCTTTCCACTAAGTCAGCATGCTGTGGTGCAAGGGCAGTGTGTGTTGCTGCAATTCTCTTCCTTGCAGCCTTGTGCTGCTGCAGCTTATCTAGGAGGATGAATTTGTTCACAGGATCAGCCTTCCTCTTGAAGGCACCTGTCTTGGTTTTCAGGAGTGGCAACTCATCCAAGGGCTCTGATGACAATTTTCTGGCATTGTTGTCCATAAGTCTTCCCAGCCAGAAAATCAAATCTGGCAGCAATGGCTGGCAAACAGCCTCAAAGAGGTTGATGTTGGAGAAGGTCTCCTTGGGATGGCCAACCAAATAGAAGAGGAACAGCAAGATGTCCACCAAGGTAGGTTGCTGAAAGGAGCTGGTGATTCTCTGGGCACACCATGGTGTAATTTGAAGTTTGTGCCACAATTCCCTTGTAGCTGGGTTTAAGCTCGCCAATCTGTGCCAATCATCAGTCACACCTTGTGGTGTAAAGCAAATCTCCACCCTCTGCAAACACCTATTCTCATCAAGTAGGCAAAGGCCAACAGGAGGTGGTGGTTCATTGCCAAGTGCTTCCAGCAATGAAGCAACCAACTTGAAGAGAAATGAAAGGGCTGCAACCTTTCCTTCTGCTGAATTTCTTTTGTGCTTGGCAGCAAATTTCTTCTGTGTAGCACCCCCGCACATAGAACTGCTTCTCGTCCCAAATTTCAGAAACGTTTTGCAACTTGAAACTGCCCGTTTCCGTTCTGAGAATTTGCCCTTCCAGTTTTGCATCATCCAAAGCTCGTGCGAAGGCCTTGACATTCTCGGGAACATCGCTCTGAACCTGAAACCAAGCAAAGCAGCCACAGAAACATAAACGCTATCTCACATCTCATACAACGGCATGCAGTATGTTTCTGCTAAGAGCCTTTTAGCCTTTTCTAGGCCCAATGAATCCCCAGTCAAAACCCTGGAGAAACCCATAAGATTCCCAAGATCACCCATGAAATTCCCACCAAAACCCAGGAAATTCCCAGACCAATGTGTTGCAGGCACCACAGCTTGACCATTGAACTGCTTTCATTTTTTCCCTCATGTGCATCTGTGTGCTCACAGCTAGCAACCTAGCACTCTCACCATCATAGCCACATCTGCCTGACAGGCAGCTAGATAAAGCTAATAAGACCATGAATTGCTTTTGTGGGAATGTGATCTGCAGACTAATGCATTGCAGTGCCATTCACTCAGTGCATCTTTTCTTTCCAAGCAGCAGGTGAAAGCAACATGCATCCAATCACCACTTGCACTGATAACAAAGTCAGCCAAACTTGCCTTTCAAACAAAAGAACAGCTTTCAGTATGTTCAGTATGATTTTTTTTGTTTTTGCTTGCAGCTGAGTTGCCAAAAATGGTTCTACTTATATTGAGTCATTTGGCCAGCCTCTTGCTGTAGGACTTGCAGGGTGGAAGTTTTTTCAAAAAAGGTTCCAACCCTGTCAAAACTTCTTCTGGAACCTTGCCAGGCTCCTGAGGGGTCATGCCACCCTTCAGGGGCAAGGCCTTTTTCACATAAGACCATTTTGTCCAAATCCTTTCATGGCACTCAGCCAAAGCTAATCTCCAGGGTTTGTTGGTAAACCTTTTTGAAAAATGTTGGCCTCTGAGGTCAAGAGGCATTTCCTTAGGCTCAGGTCCAAGCCAAGTTGTCATGAACCTGTGATCATTAAAATTCAAAACCATTCGACATCCAGGAGGCATCATGCAACACAACACCTCCTGGGGTGTGGTGTAGATCTTGACCCTCCTCACTGGTTCAGCTGGGTCTGCATCCATGCCATCAGCACCCTCTGCCACTGGAGCTGCTGGCCTAGAAGATGAGCTGGCAGCTGCACCACCTGGTGGGCCTCCTGCAAGGCTGGCCCAAATGGAAATTGGTAAATTAAAGAATTGTCCTGATGACCACATCCTGAGATTGAAGTTGGATTGAAAAAAACCATTGACCACAACCCTAACTTCTAGTAAGAAATTTCATCTTGTCGTTTGTTAGTTATTCCACTTGATATTAACTATACCAAAATACACCCCATATAACTAATCCCCATCAAATGTCAGCTTCTGCTTGGTCTGCTGGGCCTGGAAGGCTACCAATTGGAAACTGAAGCTGGCTAGAAACCAAAACAATGCCACACTGCTCAATAGAAAATCCATCTTAGTGCTTATTGGCTACCCCAAAATACACCCCATACAACTGGCCCCCATCAATCCCAATGTGGGTCCTGGAAGGCTTTCTGGAGCAGCAGGTGTGCTGGGAGCTCCAGGTTCTGCTTCTGGATGCTGATCTGCTGGGCCTGGAAGGTTGCCAACTGGAAACTGAAGCTGGCTGCCTGGGAAACCAAAACAATGTGCCAATAGAAAATATATATCAATGTTTGCCAGCTACCCCAAAATACACCCTATACAACTGGCCACCATCAATCCCAATGTGATGTGGGTCCTGAAAGGCTTTCTGGAGCAGCAGGTGTGCTGGGAGCTCCAGGTTCTGCTTCTGGATGCTGATCTGCTGGGCCTGGAAGGTTGCCAACTGGAAACTGAAGCTGGCTGCCTGGGAAACCAAAACAATGTGCCAATAGAAAATATATATCAATGTTTGCCAGCTACCCCAAAATACACCCTATACAACTGGCCACCATCAATCCCAATGTGATGTGGGTCCTGAAAGGCTTTCTGGAGCAGCAGGTGTGCTGGGAGCTCCAGGTTCTGCTTCTGGATGCTGATCTGCTGGGCCTGGAAGGTTGCCAACTGGAAACTGAAGCTGGCTGGGAGAATCAACCAAAAACAATGTCACACTCAGTAAGAATCATGCATAGCAATGTTTTCTGGCTACCAAATACACCCCAGTTCAACTGGTTCCCATCAATCCCAATGTGGGTCCTGGAAGGCTTTCTGGAGCAGGTGTGCTGGGAACTTCAAGTTCTGCTTCTGGATGTTGATCTGCTGGGCCTGGAAAGGTTACCACTTGGAAACTGAAGCTGGCTAGAAACCAAAACAATGCAACCCTGTTCAATAGAAAATCCATCTATTAAAAGTGCTTACTGGCTACCCCAAAATACACCCCAGTTCAACTTGTTCCCATCAATCCCAATGTGGGTCCTGGAAGGCTTTCTGGAGCAGGTGTGCTGGGAACTTCAGGTTCTGCTTCTGGATGTTGATCTGCTGGGCCTGGAAAGGTTACCACTTGGAAACTGAAGCTGGCTAGAAACCAAAACAATGCAACCCTGTTCAATAGAAAATCCATCTATTAAATTATTAGTGCTTACTGGCTACCCCAAAATACACCCCAGTTCAACTTGTTCCCATCAATCCCAATGTGGGTCCTGAAAGGCTTTCTGGAGCAGCAGGTGTGCTGGGAGCTCCAGGTTCTGCTTCTGGATGCTGATCTGCTGGGCCTGGAAAGGTTACCACTTGGAAACTGAAGCTGGCTAGAAACCAAAACCATGCAACCCTGTTCAATAGAAAATCCATCTATTAGTGCTTACTGGCTACCCCAAAATACACCCCAGTTCAACTGGTTCCCATCAATCCCAATGTGGGTCCTGGAAGGCTTTCTGGAGCAGGTGTGCTGGGAACTTCAAGTTCTGCTTCTGGATGCTGATCTGCTGGGCATGGAAGGTCTGAAGGAGTGCTAGCTCTCCTTCTTCTGCCAAACCCTCTGCCTCTTCCAGTGCCAGCAGGCCTCCCCCTTCCCCTACCTTTGCCAGCAGGCCTCCCCCTTCCTCTCCCTCTCCCTTTTGCTTTGTTCCTGTCTGGCACTTGCTGATTAGCACCAGCACTCTTTCTGTACCTTTTCAATCTCTTTTTCTCCTTCAGCTCCTTCAAGTCAAGGGTGTTGGCATCCTCCTCATCCAAGCAACTCACAACATCCTCCAAATCACTATCCAAAGGTTGCCCTTTGGAGTTTGATTCCAATGACTCAAAAGCTTCTGCTCTTGCACCAGGATCCACCAGCACAGAATCAATCAACAGTTTCTGCAAGCCACTTTTGTTTGTACCAGCAGGGACTGGCACCTGGAGCAGCTGGAGAAGCTTTCTCATGTGGGCAACATTCAATGAGATGCCACTCTTGGCCATAGCCACTACCAAAGGCACAGGTTGCCCATCCAAAGCCCATTCAATGACACCAGCATCTGATAAGAAGGGCTTAGCAGGCACATGTAACCAATCCTTCAAGTCAGTGATGTGCATCCATTGCAAGAGCATCCTGTTGGGCCTCATGAAGTAGGTGCTGTTGCTGGAAACATCCATGTGCCATGTGAGGGCCCCAAACTCTGCAGCACCAACAATTTTCACCAGAGAACCAGTGGGCTGGTGGGCTACCAAATCACCACATTTGCAAATGCAGGTAACCCAGGCATCATCAATAGAAACCCCAGGGTGCTTGCCATCCATGTAAGCCATACACCACTCTGTGGCAGCCAAAGTTCCAAACAAGCTGGAAGGTGCAGGGGAGGGCCACCAATTGCTACCTTGTCTCTTCCTCATCATCCTTTGGAGCCCATCACCCAACTTGTGGCTCCTTGGGTTCATGGAATCCACCAGTTTGACTTTTCTCAAATTCTTCTGGTTGAAGATCAGTTCCTGTGGGTCAATTGCAACTGTGTTTTTGACATGTCTGAGTTCCAAGGCACCAGATTTCATGGTACCAAACATAATGGACACATCTGGGACATTGTTGTGCCTGTTGCCCCTCTGCAAATCAGGGCCCTGCTGATGAGCCACTTCAATGACCCTGCTGTCCCCCAAAGTTTGGGCAAGCAAACGCTGGAGAGGGAAAGCACTACCATCTTTGCAGGGCAAGCCTTTCAGCTGATCTTGCTCATGGGCCATGCAGAGAACCCTTGTGTATGTTCCAAGTCTCCAGAACATTTTCTCCAAAGCATCTACCTTGCCAATGGTGTGCAAGCTGGCAGCTTCAAGTTTCAAAAGAAGCTGCCATTCATGTAGCAGGTAGCTCCTGGTGTTCTCAGCTTCAAGGTCAGAAGGGCTCAGCACACCATTCCATCTCATTGGTGGCAATGTGTATGCTGCAGCCAGGGAAGTAGCCCTTGCTGAGAGGAGATGGTGAAAAAAGTCACAATGCTCTGCCAAAAAGCTCTCTGACACTGATGTTTGGAACATGTGCCTGAGCTCACTCTTGGACCACAAAGAGTTTGCAACCATATCCTCCAGCTCCAAGGCCCAGAAGTTGCTTCTGCTGCATGCCAGATTGTGTTCCAACACCTGCTGTGGCTGCACTATGTGCCTGGCCCTTTCAGCATGCAACTTCCATGTTGCTTTGCAAGTCAACAGCAGCATGTCCAAGGTGGCAACATTTCTGCTGGTCACCATTTTTGGTGCTAATTTCCAAACTCCATGTGCCCTCTTCAACTCATTGAGCTCCTTCTTTGCATCCATCTTGCTTTGGGCTGCTTCTTGTGGCCCAGGCTGTGCTTCCTGAATCAGTTTTGGGAGTTCTGCAGGGCCTTCTGATACATTGGTGTCCTTGAGCTGGTCAGACAGTAGGACAAGTTTTGTACCCCACAGATCTCCCCTCCACTCCAAAGCCACTTCAAAAAAACTCATCCACATCATCTTCACAAGCCCACCTTTCTTTTGAAAATTGGACATGTAGGCCAGGCTCCTGAGCAATTCTTCCTCCTCCTCTGGTGTCTCAGGCTCCCTTTGTCTCCTCTCTCTGCAAATGTCTGAGATGTAAGACTGAAAGGTGGGGTCAGCTCTGGTCCTGGTTGACAGGAAGTCTTCCATGACCCCCTGCTTTTTGTAGAAAAAAGCTCCTGACTGGAAAGGGGAATAGTTGATGTTGAACAAAAGTACCAGCTGCAAAATGCATTTCCAAGGGTACCCCAAGCTTTTCTTTGCACAGTTTTTCACATCATTCCACCCCCTGTGGAAATAGTCATAGTTCACATGGACCATCATCCCCTCCCCTGCAAACATAACAAAGTTCAAGCTGGCAGTGTTGCTTGGTCCCTGGTCACTGCATGAAGAAAGGGCTGGTAGATCTGATAGCTTCAGGTGGTTGGGTATCTCAGGCCTGGCCAAATCACCTGGCCCCACTATGTACCAAGCACCATTGAAAAAGACTCTGGCTTCTCCCTGTTGCAAAGGCCTTGCCACTAAATCAGGAGGAATCCTGAAGTGTTCCAAGCTGCAGCCTGTTGCCTGGAGAAGTGCATGTGACAGGCACCTCAGCTCTGCATACCCCTCAAGGGTACCCAATTTTGATGCCTTTGCCTCCTCTATGAAAGAATCTTGCAAGTCGCTCATTTGTAGCTTCCTCAGCTGTTGATTTGGCATATATGCCACAGTGTCAATCTCAGGTGAGTACAGGGTGCTGACCAGAGTGTTTCTCCCACCATAAGTTGAAGGATCCCATGCAGTGGAGAACTGCTTGGGGCAGCTGGAAAAAGCCTGCTTCACCTTCTGATTGTAAAGTGCCACTGATATCCTGGCCTCTCTTTCCACTAAGTCAGCATGCTGTGGTGCAAGGGCAGTGTGTGTTGCTGCAATTCTCTTCCTTGCAGCCTTGTGCTGCTGCAGCTTATCTAGGAGGATGAATTTGTTCACAGGATCAGCCTTCCTCTTGAAGGCACCTGTCTTGGTTTTCAGGAGTGGCAACTCATCCAAGGGCTCTGATGACAATTTTCTGGCATTGTTGTCCATAAGTCTTCCCAGCCAGAAAATCAAATCTGGCAGCAATGGCTGGCAAACAGCCTCAAAGAGGTTGATGTTGGAGAAGGTCTCCTTGGGATGGCCAACCAAATAGAAGAGGAACAGCAAGATGTCCACCAAGGTAGGTTGCTGAAAGGAGCTGGTGATTCTCTGGGCACACCATGGTGTAATTTGAAGTTTGTGCCACAATTCCCTTGTAGCTGGGTTTAAGCTCGCCAATCTGTGCCAATCATCAGTCACACCTTGTGGTGTAAAGCAAATCTCCACCCTCTGCAAACACCTATTCTCATCAAGTAGGCAAAGGCCAACAGGAGGTGGTGGTTCATTGCCAAGTGCTTCCAGCAATGAAGCAACCAACTTGAAGAGAAATGAAAGGGCTGCAACCTTTCCTTCTGCTGAATTTCTTTTGTGCTTGGCAGCAAAGAAAAGGAACACAAGCAATGCTCTGGAGGTCAAAGTGTGGTCTGTCCAAGGCTCCTCCTCAGATACCACATGGTCAACCCCCTTGTAGGACAGCTCTGTCAGTGGGACTTGGAAGGCCTGCATGGTATCTTTCAAAGATTCTATGTTCCTTCTCAAGTAGACACCCCCCTCACATTGTCCAGTGAGATGCTGGTGCACTCTCTCAAAAAGCCATTGGGGCTCACCCACTTGGTTGAAGTAGGCCCTCAAATTCAAGCCTCCACCCTTCCAAGTGGCAACTTCAAAATTAGGTTTGATCACAGGCTGATGCTTCTTCTTTTTCTTCACCCACTCCAAAGGCATGAGTTTGCACCATGGTCCACTCAAATTAGTTGATGGGCTGCTGGTATGTGCCTATATGTCGAGTATCTATGCATACCTTTCTGGCTACCCTCATGATCATTATATCTTTGTACCTGCCTCACCTACCTCACTGTAGTGTTATTTAATAAATGTCCACACTAAGCATTAGATGGTGTCACCTTTGAAGCTGGCTACCTGATGTGGCATCACTTTTTGTGGTCATCTGACCTCTTGAAAAAGCCAAAATTCAAACAGAGCAGCACTTGAAGAGCTGGCAATGATTCAAGTGCAAAGCAAACAGCTCAGCAGTTTGTGTGGCTCAATTTGTCAATGTCTGTCAGTTGGTTTTGCACAAGTTAAGCCCCCAGTCTGTCCCACACCTGGCCTGCATAGCTGCCAAATAAAGGCCAAAGCCAATAGCCACAGTGAAGGCAATGGATTGTGTGGGCCTGCAGTGGCTGTGGTGGCTGGTGGCTGTGATTGTGAGGTGGTGTGCAATGATCTAAGCTGACTATGCAGGGTGTTCCATCCAAGACTAGCCCAAACACCTGGCCTCCACATCAAAATTTGCAGGTCAGGCAAAGCTCAGGCCATCCTGAGGTTGGACCACCCCCAAATTAGTAACAGCCTCACAGGGACACACTTGAGTGGCACACACACTTGAGTGGCCAGTAAGTATGGGATTGGCACTGGCATTCATAGTTTTGTCCAAACTATGGTGCAGGCAAGGCTCTAATGCAGCCACAAATAAGCCTTGTGCAAGCCTTCAGGGATGCACTGGCAGACCATAGCTCCTTGTGGTGCCACTTTCTTGCACATCCTCAGATAAAACCAGAGGCTGCTTCAAATCCAAACCCCTTTTAAGACCACTGGACCCATATCTGACTAGCAGTTAGCTGCTAAAACAATACTTCAAGCCATGAGAGCCTGACAGTGTAAGCCAAGTTCAAGTCAAGTAGCTTGTAGCAGCGCAGACACATACTGCAAACACTGCAGTGCCATGGGTCCTTCTTGGAGCTCAGAGGTGTGCTTCCAACATTGATCATCCTGTGATGGCATCCCCCAGGCATCAAAGAGGTCCTGGGGAGGCAATAACAGGCCTCAGCACATCCAGGGTCAGGCTTGTTGGGAAGCAATGCCCTGCTGCTGAGCAGCAAAGATTTGGCAAGTGTAAAATCCACCATGATGGTGGATGTGGCCTCAGCAGCATGGTAGTTGAAATTGATCACTTCCATGTATTTGAGCCAGAGCTTTTTGGTGGCAGCCCTGGACTCAGGCTTCCCAAAGAGCCTGATAGCCAGCTCCACCTCACCCTCATGACAATGCTTCTTCATGATCTCCTGCAGGGCATCAGCCTCAATAGTGGTCAGGCTGACCTTCATCCTCATCTGGGAATCCAAAGCGATGAGCTGGCCATGCTGAGTCATCTTTTCCCTTGCCACATGTTCAGGCTCAGATTCACCTTCATCACTGAGACTTGGGCTTGACACATCCTCTAGTGAAGTTCCCTCCACCTTTGCCTTTTGCCTCTTCTTTGTGCAAAACTCACAAGGGCACATGACCTCATCCTTTGGGCAAGGTTTGGGAGGCTGCCCTACTGTAGGGTGCTCACCATCACCAGCCATAGTTGCATCCTCAGGGGCCATGACTGAACCTTAGCAGCAGCTTGAAATGGATAGTTACCCCCATCATTTGGATCTACCAACAATAAGATTTGGCAAGTGTAAAATCCACCATTTGAAAATTTGGATCTGCCAGCAATAGATAGTTACCCCCATCATTTTTTTTAAGACATGCAGCATGCAACTGAACTGCCCAACAATAAGAGCACAAATTTAGTTCAGCCTGGAAACAGTGCCAGTGGCTTGAAGCTTTTGGGCAATGTCGAATTTGCTTCACCACATAAAATTTCACTGTGGACCATAAATGCAGCATAGCATCTCAATTGGTGCATCAGTTTTTTGTAGGGTATTGTTAGGTTTTTGAAGGGTATTGTTAGGTTTTTGTGGTGTTATTGTGGGATTTGGTTGGGCCCCATATGTTTCCCATATAATTCCCACAAATTTCCCAAGATAACCTAACTATTCACCACATAATCCTAACTATTCCCCACAAAATCCTAACTAATTCCCAAAATCTGGCCAACCAAATCTAAGGGTACCCCATTTAATTCCCAATAGAATCTAACTAATTCCCACAAAATCCTAACTAATTCCCAAAATCTGGCCAACACCCCCAACCCAAACCCAACAAAACCTAATCAAACCCCACAAAAACCTAACAAATTCCCAAAAATGGGGAAAGCATCTGAGACACCCAACACCACAAACAGGTCTATGTAAACAGAATGCTGCCCTTTTTTTTCCAGCAATAACATTATCATATGATAATTGTTTTTGGTGGTGGGCTGTTTCCAACCCCCAAGGGTACCTTAACATTGCCTTATGTTATTGTTTATCATATGTATATAATATAATATATATTATAATAATATAATATATATAAAATATTATAATATATATTAATTATGTTACATACAGCATTGAAAGAATCAATCAAGCTCTGTTTCCATGGGTTCCCTTGCCACACCCCTCCCACCACAGCCAGCTGCAGCTTCACTACATCAACCATTTCCTTTTCACAGACAGACTGATGCCTACTACTGTAAATCCAAAACTTAAAGACATTTTTTGGCCACCTGCAAATCAAGTACTAATGAAACTTGTCATGTTGCTTTAACCATGGCACTAAACAAAGTATCCTTGATTTACTATTTGATACACAAGAGATTGTCCCAGGTTTGGTGGCTTGTCAGCAGGTACCCCATGGCTCACATCTAAGAAGGCCATAGCCTAGCCCATGGCTCATACACCCAAAGAGGCATCCAATCCTTAGAAGGCAAGGGATGCACCCACCCCCAATACAGGTGCCACCAAGCCATCACAAAACTGTGCAAATCAGATTAAATCCTATAGCCACAACATTATGACATTGATTAAAGCTCTGGAAATGGTTTGAAGATAATGCCACTGAGATTCCTCCAGTCCAAGGGCAATCAGGCTCATAAGTTATAGTGAACCAGGCCACCATCATCCTTGTGGCAGGCAAGGGTGAAGCAGCCTTACCTTTACCTATTGGGATGTTGTGGTGGGTCCATAAAGAAAAGCATACCATGGCTGGTTTAAAGTGAAAGGGATCACACTCCAAAAGGTTCAGCAAATTTGAAGCCCCCAATCATCAATCAATCTTTAGATGGTATTTGCACCTGACTCCAAAAGTTCCCAAGGCTTCCAAGTTTCTAGGCCATGATTACTGGGGAAGCACACCACATAAATAGGTGGAAGGAAATTGAAATTTGGATACATACAGCCCTTTAGCCTTGACTAATGCCAATGAGCTTCCTGCAGAGAGCAAGGCCCTGTGCCAAAGGCCAAGCCCATAGCCAACCAATCCTTAGAAGGCAAGGGATGCACCCACCCCCAATACAGGTGCCACCAAGCCATCACAAAACTGTGCAAATCAGATTAAATCCTATAGCCACAACATTATGGCATTGATTAAAGCTCTGGAAATGGTTTGAAGATAATGCCACTGAGATTCCTCCAGTCCAAGGGCACTCAGGCTCATAAGTTATAGTGAACCAGGCCACCATCATCCTTGTGGCAGGCAAGGGTGAAGCAGTTCACAATGATTCATCCCTTATTGGGATGTTGTGGTGGGCCCATGAAGAAAGACATACCATTGTTTTTTTAAGTGAAAGGGGTCAAACTCCAGAAGGCTCAGCTGACAACCAATTTGTAAATTTGTGGATGGTATTGACACCCTTTCCCAAAAGTTCCCAAGGCTTCCATTGGTCCAAGCTGCTGTAATAGTAAGTATAGGTTAGGCAATGATTAAAACTGTGGAAACATAATAAATGTCATAAGGGGAGAATATTGGAATAGATATTTAATATATAGCCCAACCCTGTAGCTTTGACTAATGCCAATGAGCTTCCTGCAGAGGGGAAGGAAGGCCACTGAAGACAAGAGCATTGAATCATTCAGCAGATTCATCCTCAGTGTTCAGCTAAGTTACTGCAGGCTTGCCAAGAAAGTATGTGTGGACTTCTGAACCACCTACTTTACTTATTTTCATCAACCCATAGGCATGTTAAAAAGGATGCAGGTTGGATGTATTTTGTTGAACAAGGTTCCATGGCTTCATTGTCATCAGGATCATCAGCTGCTGGCTCAGCAGGTTCACCATCATCATTACCAGTGTCATTGGATGATGTCCCCCTCCCCTTCTGGATGTTGTCCTCAGTCACTCAGAATGAAGTGCCCCAGAAACTCAAAGTACTTGCTACTTGAACCTACTTTACAGAGTAAGTACCTTGCAATGTAATGCTGCCAACTTACTGCAGCAGCCTTTTGAAGCTCTTTGGCTGCATCTGCTTCCTTGAACAGCTGACCTTAGGCAGGGCCAGGCAAAGACCCTAAAGCTGACACACCAGTCCCAGCACAATAGTGTGTAACCCTACACTGCATTGCTGCCAGCAAGCTGCGCACAGCAGAGCTGACATCACCATGGGCACATCTGCATCCAGGCTCTCCTCAGCTAATGCAGTAACAAAACAAACACCCAACCCTGCTGACAAACAAACTAATTCAACTGTGGTGACAAAGCTCTGAAACTAGCCTGGTGTCCCTGGAAGCAGAGCTGCAAAAAGACTTTGGCTTGCTGAGCAAAATCTGATGGGGGGGGCTTGGTGTAGGAACTTCTGGCTTCAAAGCTTTGGCCCTATGAGCAATCTCCTGGTTCTGCAGCTCCACCTGCTCTTCAAAGTCTGCCAGGTCCAACTCAGTGCCATCAATCTCATCAAACTCTTTTTCAGCAGCTTTCAACTTTTGCATCTCTATTTCCACCTTCTCCCTCTCATGCTGTTCTAACAGCTCAGCTGCAGCATTGTACTCTTTTTCCTCTCTCTCAAGCTCCTCCAACCTCTTCTGTTCAGCTGC